TCTGGTTTTGAACGGAACTTGATGAGCCCGTAGCCCTGCGCCTTTGCATGCTCTCTAAGCACTTCCTCGGCTTCATCTAGCGTACAGTAGGACCGTGGCGGTGGTGGTTTGAGGGCCATGGTGAGTGTATTGAGGAAGTTGAGGATCAGGATGTAATGCTTTGTGGCCACGCCGCACTTGGAGAGAGCATTTGGAATTAGTGAGAAACGTAAGCGAGCGAATCGGAGGCCCCGGAGCACTCCTCCGGACCAATCAGAAGATCAGACGTAAGAAGGGTGTATACGGAGTAGAAAAGGGGTGTACACCGAGTAAATATAGGGTGTACATTTAGCAGCGCCCTTAAGGAACAGCGTGTTATCTGACTAAACCCCAAGCGAGTTTTCCCTTCACGCTTTTGCGCCTTCGCGCCTTTGCGACCGCTGTGCTCACACGTCGCAATCTTAAAAGGCCTTTCCCGTCCATAGCTCGATTTTCAGAAAGTCAGCTTCAAGCTATCAAAGCTAATCCCATCAAGGACGAGCTCGATTCGTTTCGCGATACGTCGACAAATACCCGTGCCAGCGTCAAGGACGCGCCGAACTACGTCGAGCAGCTGGCCATAGACTCTTGTAAGTACCGCCTTCGACATAGCTGGAAAAAATATAGTGCTTAAACTCATCGCAATTTTGCTGAACCTCCCGGCCGCTTCTGTCCTTACCTCGGAGAATGGGACGGGACCGTTCAGCGGAGCCCTTTTCTCCCTTGGTTCACAGGTCACCTCAATTACTTTCAACGTTAGACAGGCCATTGAACTCGTGGAATCTATTATCGCTCGAGCCGAAGACCTAATTGCTCTTCATCGCACTCTATTACATGAGCATCACGACTTTTTCTTAGCCTCCCAGCACCCCTATGCGTCTCCTGCATTACGCCGTCTTGCATCTACTTATAATATGCCGGTGCGGATGTGGCAGCATGGCATCTACTCATTTCTTGAGATTCTCAGACGTCGACTCCCGGAGTCATTGGATTATATGTTGACTTTTATCTATTTGGCCTATCAGATGATGTCCTTGCTCTATGAGACTGTTCCGACCTTCAAGGAGATTTGGATTGAGTTTTTAGGAGACCTTGCTCGCTACCGCATGGCGATTGAAGATGAGGATATCCACCATAAGATCTGGAATAGAGTTGCAGCACTTTGGTATTGCCAGGCTGCAGATCTGAACCCTTGTAGTGGTCGTCTATACCATCATCTGGCCATACTTGCGCGCAAGTATCCTCTGCAGCAGATCCACTACTTCTCCCGCTCTCTTACCTCTGTTACTCGCTTCGCGGCCGCTCGGAAGTCGACTATGACGATGTTTACCGGATCCGTCTCCGAATGCTCTACAGCCGTCTACGCTACATTCATTACAGCTCATAAGATTCTCTTTGAGAAGGGCGTTGCGGCTACGTCTAGAGAGTGTAGTAGGACATTTATCAAAGAGTTAGATGATCAAATTGGGCGAGCTGCAGCACAGTGGAAAGACCAAGGCGTTTTTGTCGCGTTTACCAACATCGCCAGTGTTTTCGACTATGGCTCGGACTCGCCCTTGCGCCTCATCTGTAAGTCACATGTTGGGAAGAAGTTACACGAGTTGTCGCAGCCACGCAAGGAAAAGCAGTCCAACGAAGTGGATCAGCCACACGAGGAGAAACAGTCGATTCTCAGAGCGGTCGGTTCAGATGACATCTCGTCTCAGCTATTTGAATTGTCTCAAGACGACTACTTCTTATCTGCCCGCTATCTCGCATTTTCCACGTTGAGTGTTGCCCTTCAACGGGTTGGAGATACCAACGTGCTTCCACATATTCATATTATGCTTGTTTTCTTTGCTGCCCTTTCTACTATTCCATCTGCTTCTGTAATCGCTACGGAAGCACCGTGGGAAAAGCTTGTTTCATTCCTTAATACACTATCACATTCCATTAGGGCCAAGGGTGATCTCTTTTCTGACGAGCCCAGCCCTCTACCTGAGGACTATTATTTGCGCGGACAAATTTGGAGCCAATGGTATTTCCCGGAAGGCTGGTTTCGCGAATGCGACAAGGAAGAGCGATCTTTTGCTCTTGAACTTTCTTCAACGACTGAAGAGCGGAAGAAACGAGTCTTGCGTCTAAGTCACCGGATTGCCTCTATGACATCCAATTGCTGGATAAGTTATGGTGAATCATCGTGCCTATGGTCCGTCGGATCTTGAAAGGGACGACGTGTTTAGATCAGAGTGCAGGCTCAGGGAAGAGGTTTCTGGCCTAACAATCTTCATATGTCTGCATTTCTAAATCGATGGAATTTGATCTCATATCAGATGTAGGCTCATCTTATGCGCCGGAGGTGTGCCGGAGGTTCCTCCGGCGTGCTGCAGTCAATTAGAGGCTCAGGATCAAGGCGTGAAGGTGAGACGAGAGGAGAGGTGTACGTGCAGCGGAAAGGGGGGTGGATGTGTAGCGAAAAGGGGGTGTACATTTAGCGCCGGCCGATTTAATTTCTAATCTATGTGACCTTTTTCGAACCTGTTTGACAGCGCCTCCTATCCGCGTGATCGCAGTCTTCGGTCTGATCCCTTTGCTATCTCAAGCCTTCTCTTTACGGGAAGCTTAAGTCTGAACGAGACACCCCGAAGCTGCTCCAGCCAAGTTTGGCAGTCATCATCAGATGCTTTACTACCTTGCCAAAGGTAGTTACTGATAGATTGGCAATCAATCGAGTTCATATCCGCGAGCTCGGGCCTAAGAATGGCAAACCATCGCACAAAGTACTGCAATTGTGGGTCGGTCATAGCAGAGTATCTCGATACGATTAGTATAAGGGCTGTGACTCGTGGAATGATAGCTGCTCACTCTGAAGGCTGTATAGCCCATCGTAATGATGTATAATGCACTCCCGCAGATCTGAACTTGAGCTCTAAACTGGCGCCTTGGACTTTAGCGCCCGGAAGGACCATTAGTATACGGTAACCAATCCGTGTGCAGAGGGTTGCCAGGACTGTTCCGGATTGGACGTAGTGCTTGAGCATTTATCGCTGGTTCTCATCGAAAGTCTGCTCAAGATCCTTCGAAATTTGCTCTAATACTCGGGTATCAGTCCGCATGCCCTTCTGCGGAAGGGGAAGTAAATTTTCCCCATTATTTGCCATCCTCCTGCGAATGTTCCGGGTTTTCTTCATTTCTTTCTGTATGCGGATAAACTCGCATTGGTATGTTCGAGCAAGATCGACCAGAAGAATGCGCCCCTTAAGTGTAGCTATATGGAGTTCCTCGTCATGTATATTGATTTTGCGCAGGCACTCTGCTATTGCTTCATTAAATGTAGGTGAGCTTAGGGGGTCTTTGCGAACCTGGCCAAGAGCCCGGTCTAGACCGCTAATCAAACCGTCACCGGTGCATTGCATGATCATCTGCAGTGTCCTTTCCCTCTTTTGTGGTGGTAATGGCTGACTTGCCCCTTCATCTTTAAACGCCGTTTGAAGAATGCGACAATGTTGGCTGTCTTTCAAATCTTCATAAAAGAAATCTTCATAAAGGCGCGTCAATGTATCGGCAGCAACAACGGGATTGTCGTGGCTTTTGTAGACAGGAGCTGGTACGATGGGAAAAGCGTCAGAAAATTGAAGAGATCCGTTGTGGCTGTTGGTGAGAGCTTCTCTCTGGATATTAGCGATGCATCCCTGATAGAGCATCTCGAGATATCGTATTCTCAGGTCGGGCTGTTCTATTTGCGGATACTGGCCTAAATACTTCTCCAAGGAGAAGCAGCACATAGCTATAGATGATTTCCCTTGCAGCATGTGGTAGCGCGTCCGTATTGCGCCTGGGGTCCGATCCGGGAAGAGTTCAAATATCTTCTTCCACTCCATAGCCATGTTGTTCCTGTACGTGAGTAACCGCAGGTCGTCCGACTGTAACCACGATACACGCGTTCGTGGACGGAAGCGCATTTCGCCTCTGTTGAACCTCGGATCAGGGCTCATAGCATAAGGCCTGTATTCCGTCTTGTCTTTGTCTTCGTCTCCATCGTCGTCCTCGTCCTCTTCGCTCATGTAGTTGTCTGCATGGTCAGCGTCATAATTCGCAGCATCGCTGTGAGGATTGCTCTGGTCTGCACTAAGCACCGTCCGGCTCTGACGAGGACGTGAATCTGATGCACCATCGTCAGATTAGTATCCCAGTAACAACCATGAATCCTGCGATACCTGGGTTATCCGGATGACTTGGCCTCTCTCTCCAAGAATGCTGGTGGCAAGCGCTATTGGGTCTAGAGGTAGTTTCGACTTTTTACAACTGACAGTTGCTGTTACAATCGACGAGGCCTTTGGTATGGGGTAACAAGCAACATCGGTTATCTGGTAGGCTGTGTTGGTGCTGAGTCCATCATTGGGTTCACTAACAGCCTTCGTTCTTGGAGAGGATGTTTGTGGGGAGCTAGACCGAGTCGCCCTGTCCGTTCTGGGCCAAGACAGATGTTGTGATTGGGATGAAAGTACTTGTCGAGACGTCTTCGTACGCATCGCGCTCCAATCCTGTGGTCTAAGAGTGGCTCGTGACGTGCTGCACCCCTTCTTCCGGGAACGGCGATTGCTTAGTTCACATTGCCGAAAACTTGTCATTGATGCGTCGTTAGGACTGAGTTCACCCTCATGGCTCCCCTCAACTTCGCCATCGCTGGCGTCGCTGTTATCTTCACCCTCCTCTAAATACGGACTGAAGTCTTGATCGCCCGCTCTTCGTTCAGACGGAGAGATTGATTGTCTTGAGGAATGCAGCAGCTCCTGCTCTATCGCGCCCTCGTGCTGTTCGCCATCACCGCCATTCTGTAAATTAAGGAGGTCGCTTCGAGATAGGTTGGAGGTGTTGGGGAGAAGAAGATGAAAATGTTGAGCTTATTGGCCCAGACTCTCACGAGTGTGCTAACTGCTCCACCAGCAAGGCGGAATCGATTCTCTCCCGCATCTCAACTCCATGTGTTACCAAGCCCTTCGAACGCCTACATTTTGACATGATATTCGGAAAGAACGGCCTAGGAGACGCCACAAAAGCAGTACAATTCTTCTGTGAGGCTATGAAGATGCACAGAGTCGGCAAAATTGCTACTCTATCTCAGCTCGGCCAAGCCGTAATTGATGAAGTAATACAGATAGGGAGGAGAGTCAACACCACCGTACGTTTCCTTAAGCTTGATGGATAACGTTCACTGGGCCCAGAATTCTACGCATGGGCACGTTCTAAAGGCCTCACAATTGAGAAGTCCTCTGCATATAACCGTGATCAGAATAGAGTAGCCGAACGCTCAGGAGCTCTCATTATTGAGAAAGATTGCTGTTTACGTGAAGAGTGCAATCTTTCTGGACATCTATGGCCGTAAAGAGCGTGGCGGAGAAGCGTGGCGGAGAGAGAGGGCGCGGTGCTGTGGAGTTCTATAAGACTGCGGCCTATCTCCTTAATCGCACGCCTACGGCAGCTCTAAACTGGATAATACCATAGACGGCAGACACAAAGCAGCTACTTTTTGAAAAGAAGGGCGAACACTCAACTTATTCGTTCTAGAAAAGTACAGATTTTGGATTTAAGCCGCTTAATATTGCATTTAGAAAAGCTCTCTCTCGGGAGAAACAATGGGATTTAGCTGCAAAATTCAGATCTCCAGAAGGCTCGACGCTTCGACGGTGGTTTAAAGACTTGGAAGACTAGCGTAATGTATTCTGGTTTGATTTTCCATAGAGGAGATAATTTGAAGCTTTCTTGCGTACTTTGTTCCTATCTATAGGAACCCTATATATGCCCTCTATATTTCTTCAACAACGAGATATTTGACTAGAATAACCCCACTTTCCACTCTTAAGGTGTATGCTTGTAGTATCCGCGTATAGAGAACTGAGGGGTGTTAACAAGACATTGGAATCTCTCCTTTCCAGTAAGGGTTTATTGGAGAGCAACTGCGCTTTTCTTTTGCCCAGTATTTAGGTCAATTTGGTGTATGTACCTGGGAGAGCCTTGGGTATCAAAGCCGGTGTCAAAAGTAGCTGGAAAGTCTACTAGGTATTTTTGTCGGTATATCGCGGACCTGCTCTGCAGATATCTAATAGTTTCGAGTAGCGTGCACCAGTGGCCTAAGGTTTTGATCTGGAAGTCTGATTTTAAGGCCTATAAGTCCATACCAGTGAGTAAAGTCCACCCATTCACGTTTTCGTGCCGGAGCTGATGTCCAAGCACCTCTAGATTCGGAAGACTAGCATTGGTGCATTTAGCCTCGTTATAGATATCCTTGGAGCTGAGGGCATCAATTACTTCATCAACGGTCCAATGCCATGGATCTTTGCCGGCCGTAGCTGGCGAGTCATTTTCGATGCGCTTTGAGGCCTTGATCTGATGTTCCTGAGCATGCCACTGCGTAACGCTATCGGCGTCGTGCCCTCGCTCGGGAAGGTATAGCCTTTCGGATCGATCCATGGAAGGGCCGCTTTCAAGTACACCTTTCAACCTCATACTGGCCATTAGGCTTTTGTGGAGATAAGGTAAAGGTTTTTGCGGTTCCATTATTTAATAGCGATGGTTATCTTGCTTCTTTTCATATTAACGATTTAGGCTTGCGGAAAAGAAAAATCGTTTCGCTACTTGGCTGCATATGGCAAAAAGAAGGCTATAACTCACCTTTTCCCGGTTTGAAACCCTTTGAAGTTGCTCTCAACCTAAGATACTATCTCCTGGTTCGTCTCAGTGTTGAAAGATTATCAAATGAGACGTTGACAGACGCGGCCAGGAAAGACAAAGGACTCCTACTTGTATAAATAACTTCAACTCCCTGATTTGAATTAAAGTACCTAGTTAGGGGGTGCTATCAGTAAATCCTCTTGCAAGTCGGGTGGTATGGTCATGGGACCCAGTTTTAGGCTTTTTCGATATTGTCGAGTTCGGGACCATAATAGGACAGCAGAGATCAAAGCTAGGAGGAGCACATTTTCGAAGACAGGGCTGACCACTTCAAGCAAAACACTGACCTTCTTAAAGGGTGAAAGAGGTTTGGCACTGCTCGTAAACCTAATCCCTGCTCAATCGCCATGGGCCCTATACGATAAAGTAATGTAGAGCGTCGACGGCTAAGAGAGGAGTGTCGAGAAAAACTGTCGAAACACATTCGTAAGATAAAGATCCGTTTAAAAGACTGGGCTAATCTGTCTTTAGAACGCAGACTGAATATTACTATCAGGCCGTCAGAAGTTCGGCTTAATCCCAGTGCTACTGATCCCTATGCTTGGAAAATTCTGCCGGAGAAAGAAGGGCTTCTTTCTAAAATATTCTCCAAAAATATAAGCGAACATTCTATTGGTGCTTATAGAGAATTGTGCGAAGAGGTTGGTATAACATTTGAAGCTGTGCCCTCAAGTACGCATAATATAAACGCTCTCGACTCAATCGTGTCGGTATGAAAGCACGCAATATTGGATTCTCCCATTCTAACAACATATACAGCTACAGAGCCCAGATATTAGCTTTAGCGCGAAAATCGACCAGCTTAAGAAGGAAAATGGTAATCTAGCATAAGATTTATGCAAGTCGAGAGAAAGTGCTATCACAGAAGCGGAACGCCGACAGCTAGCGGAAGATCAGATCCGTCAGCTGCATGACACTAACCAGCAACTTCAAGAGCAGATTCGATGTCATGAAGTCTCTATAGAGTACTACAAAAGCAGCATATCGGCGTGTTTTCAAGGGCTCGACAAAGTGCTCCCTCTATTACAGGAGCTAAAGGCAGGAGTATCCTTAGGAAGTCACAGTCTTTAGAGCGCCAGTGCTGCCGATACGGTCCAAAACATCGGAGTAGCTCCCGCACCTAAAAACTCAGTGCTTAGCAGTGCGTTGTATACGGGCTCTCACGCTTGAAGAGTTTCAAATGTTTAAAATTCATTTCGCTAGCCACGATAGCTGTCAGCACCTGTCTCTGACTCATTGTCCGCCACGCAAAAGTTCGTCTTGGGATATCAAGCAGACGCGCCGTGGACCCCGGGATCAAGGTCGACGTGCTGAAGGTCATCTTGAGGGAGAATTACCAGCGACGTGGAAATAGACAACAAAGTCAGTGATATAGAATAAGCCGCGGAAGTCGTCAACAGGGTGGCGAGGTATTGAGGTTCAAGTACTATACTACCAATGGACGGAATGTTTGTGGCATGGCCTTTATGGCCAGCGAGATCGAACATGTTCAGGCGGAAGCTGGTTATCAAGTAACTGTTTGGGGACTTGAATGCCAAATAGAATTCTACAACCTCACGAAGGCGGCATCGTAAGAGAATTATAGTATTAGGATGTCCCGCGAATTTTCTGAGTATTTAATGAGACTAAGTTAGCTCGATTATAAGCAGATGTCCGCAAAGCGCATCTAAAATGAGCCGTGACCATAAAACTACCGGGAGCAGCTTTTAACATCTAACTTAAGTTAGCGGTCTAATTAATTAGATAACTTTCTAAATTACACAGATGTTATAATTTATAGTAGCAACTTCCAGCGTGCTCGCACGGCGTTGCTGAGGTTGGTGAGAGCGTGGCGCCATGGAGAGAGCGCGATGCTATGGACAGAGCGCGGTGCGATGGAGAGAACGCGGTGCCATGGTGGGCGCGTTATCGCTACTCTCATCAAGAGATACATTAAGAGTATTGTCAAAATCGCTAGTTCTATTGCTATCAGTGCTGTCAGAGCTGTTAGAGCTGGCATCGAAGTATTTAGCTTGGATGCGGCTAGCTATCATAAAAGTGGTTGTAGATAGTCCAGTTCATAGTGTTGAGTTGCAGACTGTAGCATCTGATTTAGGGCGGAAGACGCCGTACACAGAGGATAAAGACGCCCAGGTTTGCTACCAGATTGCTTGCTGTAGATGATTGTTATTATCTAACATATGGTTCTACGGCTTAGAAAATGTGGAATAAAGATGGAGTGAATTGACGGTAGAAGTTTCGGCCAGAATAACACACCGGAGCGATCCAGCCAACCTGAGCGTGGTGACTAACTCACGATAGCATGTGTCCCTATCGGAAAAGGGCATGTGCGCTTATCGAAACGGCATGTGCCCAGAAGGCTGACCTTTCATAAGGTTGATAGATATCCACCTACAACCCTCTTCCTGCGAACTTGATATTGTCTATACCAATACCAATGTTTAACCAGCTCCCCCTCTCAACAGTTTTCTTCTACCTCAGTAAACCCCATCAAGACTGCTCCGCTAATTGTGTCCTTGTGGTCGGAGAAGAGTATTTCATTAGGTGCGGACTTAACTGGCTCCCTTAGGTCTAGAATCGATGGATAATACATCCACGTGATATCGAGATGACCGTTCGGGCGCAATTTTTCAACTCTGGCAATTTCTGGCAGATCGCGTTCATTCGTTTCATCCTTGTCGCATGCGACAATGATATAGTCGCCAGGGCGAACTTCCTGCCCACCATCTGCAGGTCGTTAGCATAGGGAAAAATGTAGTGACGTGAATGGCGGTTTGTACGTGTGAGTGGAAGACAATCTACGCGCTTCTTCCTATCGCGTGCTGGACGAATGCTCTTTGGTTGCCCACTCTTAAGTGGTTCCGCTTGGCGGTTCTGTTGAGCACGTCTCCTACTACAGGAGAAGTCACTTTTGGTTGCATGCTGCACCTCTACCTCTCTCAGCCCTACATCACAGTTAGAGGTGACCTAAGTGACGATAGTTGCAACATACCGTGAGTCGAAATTTGATCTCTTTCCGATTGATGGCCATGCAGGAATCCATCCCTTTTGTGAATAAGGTTATCAAGTCTAGCAGCACCAATTATCCCACCTAGCGTGCGGTGCGAACTAGCCCGGTGAGAGAAGTTCCGTATATGTCTGGTCACCCTCTGGAACAGGCTGATCATGTTGCGAAGCTTCCATGTTTTAATGATTCGAGAGCAGCACTCCGGCCTCGTCTATAGCGGCTGCACAAGAGTCGATTTCTACGCTAATAGAGTTTTCAGGAGCTGTTTGATTGCCGGTAGTGTTAGTTCCAGCGGCCAGAGCATCATCCGTTATGTATCTCGCAGCATCGCCTATGACCTTGATTAGAAATAGCGACCATATTAAAGTTTGTTAACTTTTGAGCCGTAGAACCAATAGAGCACTTGCCTTGTACATTAATAACAACCGTAACTTCCACCACCTCAGCATCCTCAAGATCTGACGTTGACGCCCTTCGAGGAAGATCGATCGGAGTTTCGTCGGCCACGGACGATAGTGGTGTGCCGGTACCAGAGCGCCCATCTTCAGTCCAGGTAGTGTCCACTGAGGTGTTAGAAGGCGTAGAGCAGCCTGAAAAGACCGGGGATCGGTCCAATGACACAACTTCCATAATTTCCATCGTTTTGTTGATGAATAGGTACTCCCCAGAGTCATCTGGCTTATACCGATGTGGTTTTTTGGTGGCTAGTTGAATTTCTTCGCGTTGCGCTCGCAGTCTTTTGCGCGGTTTCGCTTTACTTGCCATGTCAACGCCGTGAATGTCTTAAAGGTGGAATTCTTTCTCCAAAACGGAATCGAAGGACGTAGGACAGCCCGACACGAAGCGGGGGCACTCGATCAGTTCGGGCCTGTTACCTGTTTTCTGTAGTTCCCATTGCTCTAGTTTCTTTTTCTCTTCTTCCCTATAGTTTCTAATATATATCAACCATTTTGCTTTATGGAACCACTAATAAAGCCGCTGATGAGGCTTCAATTTCTTGTCTGCCATACAGTCTGGGCAGTATCCACAAGTGGCGAGAACTCCATCGTAGATAAGTGGATCAAACTGAACAGGGAGGCTGATCGGGTGGACAAGGCAATGCTCGCTCCATTCTTTATCGCCAAAAACCCACTAGTTGCAGAGAAAGCAAAGCTCAGCAAAACTATGCTGCTTCTTATAGCAGTCATATATGTGCCTCCAGTCGTATTTGCGATCAATTTCTTTGAACTCATCCTCTGTGCAAGAACACTTTTCTGGTTCTAAACCGGGCCTGAATTCAACTTCCGAAGTTTTCTTGAGCAGCGACATCATGTCTCGTAAGACTGAAATACCTAACTCACTCCGTAATGTGGTTTCCTCGAAAAGATTCGTCGCAAGACGATCGCGCTCCGGCATCATAAACCGGCATCGATCGAAGATAGTATGATGATACTCTGGCATATTGCTGTAGGGCTGGGTTTTCTGCCACCTTTTAAGAGTGTCGTCTTTTAAGTTGCGCTTCTTTTGCATCGCCTTCTCCAGCTCCTTCTTATCCCCCTTGTCCTCACTGAACACAATGTCTGCTTCAAGCTGACGATATTCCTGACTCGTTTGAAGCTTGTACATCTCCTTTGCGGGAAGCCGCTGGGAGAGACATGGATTGTACGGTATGCTTATTTCGAGGAATGCTTCGCTCACTATGTCTCGCCTCTCTTTCCTAAGAAAAGTTGCTTGACCGTCTACACCGCTTTCACGTGGCCGGTAGTTGTTGGTGTATGTCCTTGGATTCAAGTGCGCTGCAGCCCCCATTCTTTCAGACTCCGAGTAGTGTTTATCTGTATCTGTTAGTGGCTATAAGAATACCTTAGGGATACTTCCATCAAGTGCCTGCTTGAGTGAGAGCGTATGCTCTAAAGTCGTGCATTGTTGGAGGCGCCGGCATTCCAGCACGAATGCCACAGTTACGAATCCTCTCAGAAAATGCCCTTGCAGTTTCAATGCAGCCATCTTTTGTAGCGCTTATATAGAAGGGAACATCAAGCAAATCATGTCTCCACGGTATAAAACGAGCAGCAGAATTCTCTGGGGGTACAACAGCATACAGACCTTCTATTGTGTTGTGATTTAGGTTAAGGAATGCCTGAATATTAAGCAGGTTGGCCAAATGCTCAAGAAGAGGGTTAAAGCAGAGTAGGTCAGGTTTACGGCCTTCTGCTAAAGAGTTTTTGGGCCTATAAAGATATGTTAAACTAGATAATCTTCTAGAAGGTCTTAGACAATATTACCTTCTACTATCGAGAGCATCTGTTATGTTCTTCGCATCTTTAGTATGTCGAATAGCAAGCTCCGGCTGCCGGTCTTCATTCCAAAAGCATATAAGCATTACGTCCTAGTTGAATACAGAATTTAGTATATTGGCACAAAATACATCTCTAGTAGCTTACTTTGTACTTCAAGCCTCGACCAGTACCCGTCCGGGCGGTAGATTCAACGTACTCGCCAATGCGCGAGATAGTAAAGATGTTCGATTTCAGCAAGGCCCAATCACTAACTCTTGTTCCAGGTTTGATGCCTTGATAGTGATCTCTCTGACAGGTCTGCATCCCATAGTCAAGGAGATGGCTTGCGTTGGCATATCTACGTGGTCGCTTTTCCTTAGCAAGAGGGATTTTGATCATCAGAACGTTGTAGATATACTAACATATAGGGTAAGTATAGAATAAATTTTTCAATCAGGCACCCTTACGTTTGTAATGCTTTCAACCAGATCGCTGGCGATCTCACCATACCCTCGCCTCCATGCTGCCGTAAAAATATTCCAATAATTTCGGACAGTCTCTACGCATGCATCTAGTCCGTAAATGCCATTTATCCCCTTGGCTTGGAGATAGATAAAGTGTTGCAAGGAAGCCTCATCGTGTATAGAAGCACCAGGCCTCTCGTTCTCGACAAAACTATTCCAATAGTTTAGATACAAGCGGACTATCATTTCTTTTCATATAATGAATACTTACAGAAACCAGTCGTCCAACGTCTTCTAATGATTTTCCTCGGTTTTCGGTTGAAGACTCGAGGGGTGCCGTTCTCCATTGACACAAGAAGGAATACCTGGGTCACGACCATTCTCCTCTGCTCTCTGCAGAAAGGTTTTTCGAGGCCTCGGCATTTTCAATCGATTGTAGTTCCATAGAGGGGAATCTGCTTGAAAAAGACGAAGGGCTAGTGTAAGAAAGCAGAAGCCTGATTATATTTTGGATACCAGCGAGGAGGCTGCTGAGCACGTCTTTGAATGGCGCCCATATTTGGCCCAATTTATGGGTAGCCTCGTTTTGGGCACCCGCATGTTGGCAGGCAGACTTCCCCTGGTGATGTAGCGCGTAAAGTTGACAAAAATTCGTCGGCACAATGACTGTCCGGTGTATGCGCAAAGGACAAGGCTAAACCGAGTTGAGCTGCAGAGGTGAGGTGAGCGTGAGCACCCTGAGCAAGCGGCGGTGCAAAGCTGAGCAGGAGAGCCGAAGTTGAGCCGGACGTTATTTTCGTAATGAAATAGGATTACGGCGCTAACTTAGGGAGGAACTTGGAGGCGGTCAGTTTCGACCGTACACTCGCGAGGCCATCTATGGTAGCTGCAGGCAGCTCTATGTAGATCGGAATTGAAAGGTCGGAGACGTTTATGCGAAGTTCAAGCGCCGCAAGCAGTGGCAGAGGAGGGTACTTAAATCTATGGCGAGGCAAAGTAGTCTAGGTAGGTCCTGACATTACAAATCGGCCTTGTGGAAACGGAGATAGAGACAGGACGCGGAATCGTACTCCGCCTCATATTCAAAATATCAGCGGCATGCCGGCTCGACCTTCCCATAGGAGCCTCTCGTCAGGGCCGTTCACCCCACATTAACATCATTCAAGCGAATGACGGCATGATTTACTTAGGCTAGAAACGACGCGGAGAATATGCCCCGCTATACGCGAAACTTTACCCCTCCACATCCACTGTCAACATGTATAGAAGCTTCAGTCATCTCCCATACTCAAATTAGAATTTCGGATAAAACTTTTCAAGGCCACTCACATCGCAATGGCAACAGACCAGCTTGGTGTAGCTCTAATCGGTAGCGGTGCGTCCTTTTCTATCTTGTCATGCGGAATGAGCCTTTTTGCGGCCACTTTTGGTCTTTTGATGCAGTTCAAAATTTCTCTGCCCGTTCATTTACTAGACGGTGCTCTCTGCGTAATGGCACTAGTTGATTGAGTAGTCTTGAACTTTTCGCCTTGTTCTTCTGAAAGAGTAGTGAAAAACTCTGGGCAGTAGCAAAGAACTGCAGAGATTTGTTCGTCTTCCAGGACTGAACCTTGACCACTCTATCGCGCTATTCAATGTTAAAGTCATTTTCTGATACTGTCCCTCTTCTCTAGGACTCTTCGCGCAGGAAGAACACCTCCCCGCCCTCCTCAGCAACCCATCCCTCAAACTCGTCGCCATATACTCGCGCAGCCTCGCCTCGGCCAAATCCCTCTCAAAAGACTTGAAAGATGTAGATCTGTACAGTGAAGACAGCGGGGAAGGGAAGGGATACGCAGATCTCCTGAAACGAGCCGACCTGAAGGGCGTCATCGTCTGGTAAGACCACTATGCTTTATAGATACGTCTATCATCTAACAGCAACCCCCAGTCTCCCAATCCCCAACCAGCCTGCATTCATCAAACAAGCCCTCTCCGCCGGCAAGCACGTCCTCTCCGAGAAGCCCGTGGCCCCGACCCTCGCCGCCGGCAAAGAGCTCATCGACTGGTACCGCTCCTCCATCCCCGCGAGCACCATCTGGGCCGTAGCCGAGAACTTCCGCTACTTGGATACGTTCCGCTACGGCGCGGAGCAGATTTCGCAGCTGGGCCGCGTCCTCGGCCTGCGCGTCCGCCTGGGGCAGATGGTGAAGCCGGGCGGCAAATGGTACGAGACTGCTTGGCGCAAGACACCGGACTACCAAGGCGGCTTCCTTCTGGACGGCGGCGTCCACTACATTGCGGGGACGCGGGTGCTGCTAGGGACCGCGAACGCGATTGTGCGGACGAGCGCGCACAGCCAGCAGCTACAAGAGCACCTGCCCCCGGTGGATACGGTGGATGCTACTGTGAAGCTGGCTAGCGGGGCGACGGGGACTGTGTCGATAAGTTTCGGGACGACGTTCAAGAGCAACGAATACTCGGTCGCGTGTGAGAACGGGATTGTGTCAGTGTTGCGGGGAAAAGTTGTTGTGACGAAGGATGAGGCGGATGAGGTGAAGGAGTTTCCGGATGAAGGCTCGGGAGTCGCGCCTGAATCGAAGGCTTGGGGTGAAAGTTTGGTTTCTGGGAAGCCGGACACTAGGCAGATACCCGAGGAGGCGTTGGCAGATTTGGAACTTGTTAGTTGTCTCGCGGCTTTGGTTTTTCGGTTCACGGTTGGGCTAACACGCAATAGCTGGAGGCTTTCCTTAGGAGTGGGGAACAGAACGGGGCGCCGATTGAGCTTAAGTACTCTGTCTGAGGTCGATGCGAGGTTCCATGCCGTATATGATGTGGGAGTAGATACGAAAGTGTGGGTGGGGAAACTTTCAGAAAGAGGGCGACGTTTGTCACGTGATTCACAAATTATCAAGATTCGAGCTAGCGTCCGTCCCCTGGGTGGCGCAACACCCACCGTGCCCCAACATATGAGGGGTACATTGACTTCAAACAACTCAAGCTCTTTGCACACATCGATATATCCCATAATTCTATATAAGTTGTGTGCTATAGCCATCCTATAGCCCTTGGAACCTCTCCCACGGAAAAATTACGTTCGCATCGTCGCCTTCGCGCCTGATTTGCGGAGAGCCTTCTTTTATAGCGTAACCGAATTCCGTTGCCACAGCACTACTACCGAACTCCTATTGCTCCTAATGCTTATAAAAGGGCCTTATCCAAGCCTTAGAACCTCGCTACCGTACTGGGAAGTTGTTATTAGCCTTATGGCTGCTGTCGCACGCAAATTTATGTAAGGTCGCTACCCTGGTCGGTATTTCTAATTAAAGCACTTACCGATTCTGGCTAGTATAAAACGACTCCGCCTGTCTTACATAATTTACTTATGTTATCTAGTAAGCCAAGCTTGTGGCTGAGTATAGCTGATCGGGCCTTGGTACCCACCTTATATTAAGCATTATTAGCCCAAGCACGTGATTTGCCACGGTACAAGAAGGTACTTGTCTACCACAGCTTAAACTAATAAGAATGTGGCCGGAGCGAGTCGGCCTGTCCTCCGTGCTAGCGTGATCGATGCGTCCGTCTGTACTAATATTTAAGTGGCAAACCTTTCAACATGCGGTTATATAATTAGCTATCTTGTCTCCTAATTAGAGAATGCTCCGCGGTAGCGAATTAGGAGGGTATATATTCACCTCGATCCCCGGGCCCCTCTATGAAATAGAGATATAAAAGAAATAAAGGTAATAAATCATCTCGACACAAACGCTCTAGCCTATGTTAGGCTGACATGTCGAATACCCAGACTCTTCCAGTCCCAACACCAATTCCAATTCTCTTCAACACTGCTGCTGAACATGATGGCCGATACTCCGACGGTAGCCATACTAGCTTCTTAGAATCACATGTTATCCATGTCCTATCTGAACTTAACGCCAGGCCTACGTATTCTGGAGTCTGAGGATGTGTCGCAATTGGTGTAGGAACTAATCCAGTTGCACTAATACTGATAGTCCCACTTGCAGTGTAAAGATACGAACCGGTGGCGTCAAACGATATGTTCTCGAGCACCCTGCTGACCTCGAGCGTTGATAGGCAGGCGCCACTGCTTGCATCCCAGATCTTGACGGTACCGTCGTACGACGCCGACGCCAGCCGGGTCGAGTCGTGAGAGATGGCCACTGACGTGACAGGGTCGCTATGGCCCTCGAGCGTTGACAGGCAGGCGCCGCTGCTTGCATCCCAGATCTTGACGGTACGGTCGTCCGACGCTGACGCCAGCCGGATCGAGTCGTGAGAGAAGGCCACTGACGAGACAAAGCTGCTATGGCCCTCGAGCGTCTGCAGGCACGCGCTCCATTCATCTCCTATAGACGGCTTTATCTTGATCTGACTTAGCTCTTCCATCTTAAAAAGACTTCTTATCTGGCTGCGAGCTGGACTAAACAAGAGTGCGGACGCATATGCCTGTAGAGGACTGTTTTCTATTGCCCGCTTGTGATACATGATAAACCGACGTGCGTCTTGGACTAGTTTGACTAGGTTGGATGTATTTGCTCCTCCCTAGGTTGTGTTAGCGTTCAGTATACATAGCGCTTTTAATCTAAAAATTACCTCGATTAAGGCCTCTAGTTTCGCCATAGAAACTAACCCCTCTGACATGCTCTTGCAAAGGCTAAGAGCCTCAAGCCAGTACAGGTACTTCTGTCTTACGAAGCTGTCGACAGTGCCTCTATCATGCAGTGCGACCCGGTAATTGTTAGAAAATCTAGGATTCCACTCACAGAGATGATCAATCCAGTAAATACACGAATAGCGTAACGCTGCTAACGGGTCTGGGTCTGGCTCCTTAACCTGCTCAGCAGGATACCCCAACGCACCGAGGCTGTAAATGTCTCGTTGTAGTATCCTAGACATATTCTGGAGCGATCTTGAGAAAATTGTGTGGTGGAAGTCTTCCCTGCTAGGTGGAAAGATGTTGTCTAAAACCTTTTCGAGTAAGAAGTCCTTTGCTGATTGATGTACAAAATAGACAATTCTGTCTCGAACCGTGAGAAACGAGCCGCAAAGGCTAATGATCTCCTGCAACTCAAGATCATCGACCGCGTCAAGCAGCTCAATAAGAGATGCCAGCTCTTGCAACATAACAGGTCGGTAAACAGTTGCGATCAAGGCCAGGATCTGCTTGCAGAGATCTGCGTCGTCTGAATTGCATATTTGGTCCAGCATTCGCCTATACAGAGAGTCCAGCCCAGGTGGAAACGCTCTCAGCTTCGCGAGCACCTTCCGTCGTGGTATTTTCTTAAGATCTTGACACACTAAAGCTACCCAGAGGAAGGTGCCATCTGCGTTTGATAATAGGTGGTGCTGCACTAAGTCTCTTGTTTCACTATCGTACTTCTTTTCTTGCACTAGTTGAAGCACCTTCTGCTGGACAAACGCGCCAACAGCAGTAGAAACAGACTCTGCGTTCAGCTCAAGGCTCAGCCTTACCCCGTGTCCCGCTCTTGCGAGCTGTGCCTCAATGTCTGGCCAGTTGCGGCTAGAGACGATCCACTTGATGCGAGGGGATGCAGAAGACTGCTGGGCGATAAAGTCTAGCAGCCTCGGCAGGTCCACTACACACTCGTCCAGCACATCGATAATTAAATACGTTCTGCTTAAACTTGAGTCCTGCAGGATATTCTCAAATATCTCGCGCAAGGCAATCCATGCGTTTGCGTCCTCAAACAGGGGTTTGCCTGCGTGGTCGTACTTCTTCCGAATGTGTGACACAAGCGAAGGCCGCTGCCTGACAAGCAAGTACAGGAGACCTCGCAGCACGGCTGTAGCACTATTGATTCGTACATCCGTGGCTTGGCAGAAGAAGTATGCCAACAGATCTTGGTGAGCAATAGAGTTGTTTAGCTCATTGATAATACCGCAGAGCAGCACGGTTTTGCCTTTGCCAGGATCCCCTTTAATCCAGAGCAGTTGGTTCTGCTGGCTTTCGTGCCATTGTTGAAAGTCGGGGTTCTGAAGAATCCAGTAGTAAGAATCCTCTAGCAAACCACCCTTTGTGTCTTCAATGCGCTTCTTGTCATCGCAAGGATCAGTGAGGCGCAAGTCTTGGATACATTTCTCCAGCTTTGCAATCTCGTCCGTGAGCCGTTTAAATGCCGTGGCTGTCCCTTCGCCATAAATGGGCACTATGTAGACGTCGAAAATGCCCAGCAATGAGTACGCTTTATCTTCGCCGAATTTGGTATGGCGGTGTTGAATCCACGAAAATCGCTCGTTGACGCTAAAATGAGATAAAGGGGCTCCTTGGAGCGCTAATTCTGGAACATTTGTTATGTCGCGAATCTGTTGCATTAGAGAACGCTTATCACCAAGTCGCTTGCCTTCCCGGGAGAAGAACTCGACCGAACAAGGTGCAAGAAGTTCTTGAAGCGTCCAACCACGCGTAAACCAGTTGCTTCTCCAGAAATTCAATTCCCATGGCTGCGGATCAGACTCATCGTTGGTGCCAAAAGGAGGGTTAGAGACATCCGAAAGATAGGCGTAGCATCGAGACGAGTTGCGGTACCAGCGAAACATGGAGTTGATAGCTCGTGAGAGCTCAGCGGTATTCGTCTTGTCAATACAACAGGTGTCTATCCAAAACCATTCCAGGCCATCTTGTGCAGTTTGTTCTCCACAGAACCAGATCTTCTTATAGCCAGGCTTGTCCCTGCCAGCGCCATTTGTGAGATCTTCGAAGGTGACCTCTTCAGTATCTGCTCCCCACGTATGCGAAAGTATAGCATGAGGAATAGCCTCGTTGCTGAACTGAGTAAGACTGAAATCGCCATTATCGCAGCGTCGTAAAAGACGCATTGTTTCGCATAGAGCTTGACAGACAAGCGGTAGGAATGGATCTCAGTCGGGTGCAAACGCGGCAGCCTAGCCGAAGAGACGAGACGGCGGCTGGCTCTTCTGCTGGGCATAGCACCCCTAGGCTATTGAAGTCAGCAAGAAAACGAAGAGATAGAACGCGGATTTATACCACAGAATCGCATCTGATTGCGAGGCCGCGCAAGAGTGCTGTGAGCAACTTCTGTTCTGCTTTGCCGCGTTTTTGGGTTGGTAAAAGAGGGAGGGGAACAGCTCAGCTGCAGGCGGGGTGGGGGCTGATCATCGGCGTGGCGCACTCCTGGACGAATGTGCTCATATACAGTATCCCCCCCTGTACGGGCTGCGCAGGTTAGTGCTGGACAAGGGTTTTTACAGTGTAATTGACCCTTGCCCAGCACTAACCTGCGCAGCCCGTACAGGGGGGGATACTGTACATATTTCGGGGCGGACGAACGCCTTGGTGATACTAGCAGGGAGGACGGCCGACCCGCTCCGGCCATGACCTTGTCAGCTCAAGCGGTGGTACCTTCTTGTACCGTGGCAAATCACGTGCCTGGGCTAAATAGTGCCTGATCGGATATGTACATAAGGTGGGGTGCCAAGGCTTCCACTTACGGGTGGGTAAATTTTGTAGATAGGTAGCGACCAGGTGGCAACAAGGAACGGCTGCCAAAAATAGTCAGCACGTGACCATTCATGGATGTTTCTAGAAGACCGCCGCATTTTAATCATAGCGTAAAATACAGTACATCTAATACCTCCCTACGTAAGCGCGCTAAAACCCTCATGCCAAGACACACTCCGGACCCCTTCACACGGATAAATCCGGAAAGTATGTTTCTAAGAGCCTTTTTGCCTCAAAGCTTAGAAGCATCTTCTTTCATCCTGGAACCATCAGTTCAATACTCCGAAATATGAAATTTGGGAGATAGTCATGGTGCAGCAGGGGTGTAAAGCTAATGCCGTTCCAGATGCTCTGAAAGGAACAATCGACAGTATGATCAAGAACGTCGTAATTTTTTAGCTGCACACTAGTTTCCTAGGGAGGAATGTCTGAAGAATAATAGTAGGCTAACGATAACTTGATTGGATCACGAGGGAGAGAGTAAGATGCCGAAGCAATAAATTTGTTGCGGCACCGGGGGTGTTGCGCCAGAAAGGGGGAGACGTTAGAAGTCATAATCAAGAACAAGCACCACAAACGACGAGTGCGTAGAATCTCATCTATTACGTTACCGTAGACAACAGCGAAGACGCTATTCCAACACGCAAAAGCTCAACCTCGCTTCAGCAGTACAGCCATTGCACCCATCAGGTCCATCTATCAAAACCACCATCCCGCAAGCCACCAGAGCACTCTCTCCCACCTACCCACCCATCTCAAACAAAAAATCAAGATCCAAATCCCCCGTGTCACCAAGCACCCTCCGTATCTCCTGCAGGCAACAATGCCACGCAAACTAATACAGCAGCACCCGCCGAACGTACTTCCACCACAGCCCCGCGCTAACAGCAATCTGGTCACCCATCACGTTCCTCACGGTCCGAAACAGCGTCTGCGCCACCTCCACGATCGGCTTCCCAAACTTCACCTCCCCAAAGCCCTCTTGCGCGCCCGCGAGCCCCCCAAACCGCCGCATCCAAGTCGCGAGAATGTGGTAAAGCTTGTCTGCCTCCTTCGTCCTGGCGAGCCACGCATCACGCGGCGCCCGCTCTGATAGCGGCCCCGACGATGGTGTCGGCGTCGGATACAGACGTCGTCTATGAACCGGATCTCTCCCGTTCTCGAAGCGTGTGGCGGGGCGATTGAACCGCCGCGCTACGAGTATCATGATTTGATCCAGTTCCGCAAGCGCGGCCTGGGTATCGAGGACCGTACAGCGCACACCCGGCAGCGTGTCCTGCACGCGCAGCTTCATGATCTCGCGGTCGGTGAGGTTGGCGAGGCGGCGGATGTAGGTGTGCTGCTCGAGCGTGAGATTGAACATCCGCGTCAGCATGTCTGCGTCTGTCTCAGTCTGGGCTGTGATGCGGAGGTGCGACGTACCAGGGGTGGGGATGTTTGTTCGGCAGTACGGGCAGCCTAGGCTGGTGGACAGCCAGCGGGAGATGCAAAAACAACAAAAAATGTGGCCGCAAGGTGTTTGAACGGGGTCGGTGCTGATTGCTGCAGCGGGGGGGTGGATAGAGAAGGGGAGTGCAGCGAGGAGACGGAGGTTGGGGCGGTTGAAATAGTCATCTTCGGCTTGGAGCTCTCCGAAAGGGCGGCCACAGATTTGGCAGTCGGGGTCGTCATCTGAGTTAAGAGTGGCTGGGGTTAGTGCGGAATGGAGTGCTGCGAAGAAGGGGTGGTTGAGAAGTTCTGGTGGGAAGATCATGATTCTTTTGGTTAGTTTATTCGGAAAGTTGCAAATATGGTTGCAATAGGGTGATTAAAACACTTGGTTGTATCCCCATATTTAACCATTTCAGTGTTGTTGAGTTGCGGAATCCATGAAGACAATGTGCTTTCACAAAGCTGTAAGGTTTTCACTATTAGGGTGAAAGCGCTGAACGATAGAAACATTGTGAACATGAGAAGATAACTCAACGGCTGTTGGTTCTACCAGTTGAAACTCGCAAATACAGGACGTATTGATGTCACTAACCCTTTTTTTGCTGACCGCTGTGCAGTCGAAGAGGGTGGGTTTGTAGATGAAATCGCCATGCGAATCCTATGCGCATTGAAACCGCAGGTCAAAGAAACACACTTAGCTTTCATCGTGCAAGTCCTTACATCTTCAATATATCTCTTGAAACGGTGCCCACCACGAGCTTCACGACGCCCAACTCACACCTTCAACCTTCAGCGACTGCCTGGCGTGACCCTCGATACCGCAGTATATCCGCCGAGTCACCCTCTAATAAACGGCCCAAGGGGCCCTTTGGACGCAGCAAAGTACTGGCTGCTTGGGTACTGACGCCTTCGAGAACCGCCGAAGGTTCGTCCATACCGTCCGACGCATCCACTCGAAGCACTTCAGTTTCCTCTGGCACCGTCGTAACCGGAACTCCAGAAATCCCTTCCTGCGATTGCTCAGCAGCTTGAGAAGGCATGATAGAGGCGTTTGGCGACGGTTGAGCAGGGGGAGGTGGAGCCATATACCCTTGCGATATACCGGGTTGCTGCTGCGTGACAGGCGGAGGAACATATACCTCCAACATGCCGGACCCCTGCTGAGCTTCGATATATCCCTGCTCCCCTAGCTTCTCCGTTGGGTTGAAAGCTACGTATTCACCGGTTTCATGGAATGCGGATAGGCGATTGACTAGCTCGCCCGGGAATGCGGTCAAGCATACGACGAGCGTCTGCCAGAATTGGTTCAAGATAGGGTCCGGTTGCTCGGGTAATTGACCATCGGGCCTGGGGCTCCCTCCGACAAACTTGGTGAGAACGACTTTATTATCGGTTTCCAATGCGTATTTGAGGATGTGCATGGCGCTGCGGGGTGTTAGGTCGCTAAGAGGGCCATGGAGGTCGGTTTCGATGAACGAGCATGCGCAGCCCCAGTGCTCCTTCTCCAAGACAGCGGTCCAGGCCTCCATGAGATTGTAGATGGTGGTGATATTCCTCGTGAATATAATCGCGCCGTCTCGGTTTGTCTCTTCGTAAAATTTCTCGATTCGCATGGTAGTGAAGGCCCGCAGCTTGTCTAACCTGTTGACGTCTGCGTATCGATCGAGGGTCCAGAGAAGCAGGTTCAAGGCATGCTTGAAACAGTACCAGCGAAGTAGGTTTGTAGGGCCGGTGAGTAGTTCCGCTATTATCCACACGAAGGCCAGCAATCGTCGCATCCTAGAAGCATACGCTCTTCTGGTGAAGCGAAGCTTGTTCCGAATATGTGACAGCAACGCGCGGGTATATTCCGGATTGTTTCCTTCCTCAAGGAGGTCAAAGAACGAGTTCGATTCGTTGTCGATGAGCAGGATGTCAACATCGGTGGCGAGGATCGCCTCTGCGATCATGCCATAGGCACGCGTGTCTCCAGAGGGACGGAGCAATTCGTACTGGGAAGGGACAGCAGACAGATGAAGGGGTGTTCTGCCATCGCTGGTTTTGCAGATGGCGGGTTCTTCATGCTCAAGGAGGCACTGCACGAGTTGCAGTTCGCCTTTTATCGTCGCGTAGAGAAGCGGTCTCATATCCCGGTACTTCGAATCCTCGGGGAGATACCAATGCTCAATCTCGCCTTCTTTCACAATGTTGTAGCATTCTCTTGGGAAGTATGGGTAAGGCCATTGCATCGGCGCGCTGGCATCCGCACCAGCTTTGAGGAGACGTTTCACGAACCAAAGCCTTTCCATCAGAGCATACGCTTGTCCAACGGGCGGCAGATTCTCGATAGCAATCTGTAAAGGACGCCTTCCCCAGTAATCGGGCAGATTGACGTCGGCCCCGGCTTCGAGTAGCAGTTCAAAACAGTCTGCTGGTGAACGATCAGTCGCCTCCATTCGAGCATTAACGATGATCAGCGAAAGGGCTCCGTAGCTGTCGATGGTCCTCAGCTCAGGATTGAGACCGTGGTCCAAAAATTTCTTCAAAATAGCTGCATTGTGCCGTTGTGCTTCCAAAAGAAGGGAGTTTCCTTTTGCATCATCTATTGAGACTTCCGCTTCTGGATCCGCACCCATAGATAAGAGGTATTCGACAAGGACAGGGCTTTTAAGGCTTACGGCGTGATAGAGGGGAACATTCAAATCGATGGATCCAAGATGACCGTCGCTCTCCGCTAACTTGATGATAGTGGAAGCCATTTCCGGGTTCTGCACATCGATGGCTTGCTTTAGTAGTTCCTCGTAGGATGTGTTCTGGAAGATGAAGTCTCGGCACGAGCAGGTCAGCAAGCTGACGACATCTTCGCATCTTCCATTTCCCATGGCAATATCCAAAGGCGTGAGTCCCTCCTTTGTTTTGGCAACACAATTGGCACCAGCTTCGATCAGCTTTGTGAGGCCGAAGGTGGAAGAAAACCCGCTCTCGAAGAGCACGTGAACGGGTGTCCGCCCTTGAGAATCTCGCACGTTGAGATCAGCGCCTTGTTCGATTAGCCATCCCAGAATATCGGCGTTGTAAGAGTCGATGGCAATGTTAATGGGACGAGCGTCCGAACCTGGATCGCCGTCAATCTTTGCGCCATTGCTGAGAGCAAACTTTATCAAGTCGATGCTTCTCGTTAAGTCGAAATTGGCAGAACAAGCGACCGTCGTGCAGGCTACGATAAGATCACCCAGCTCGGAGTCGCTCAGCGCAAGAGCTTCGTCGAATGACTTCATGTCAGCGATAATCTCGGCTAGATCAACGTCTGCGTAGTCAACAGCCGGTTTCAGAAACGACCACAGGCTAATGGATATCTCATGACGAATATGATGCGTCATGAGGACGTTGATAGTTTCCTGGGCAGCCTTTTTGTAGTCTTCGCCATGTATCAGGATCCGTTCCAGTGGATATGATGTGGGAAGAGCAATTACCAGCCCCCAGAGGATATATCGGTAGTCGGTAGGCGAAAGATTGAAGCGTGGGGATGCAATAGTATCGAGGAGCAGATCAAGTATCTCAGTCAAGTGCAATTTTGCCGCTACGTGAGTGGCGCTTTCGTTATGGAGGTTCTCGCGCCATGCTGCTGTTCCAGCAAGTGGATCGGCGTAGCGAGCCAACAATGCCTTGACTGCTGGCATACAGTTGGTCGCAGTAGCAAAAGCAAGCGGCGTACCCTGTAATCGAAGTGGCAGTTGCGGATCGAGGCGCTGAAAGGTAGTGACCGCTTGATCTACCTGAACTTTCGATGGATGATCAGTGACAGGGATTAGTTCGTCCTCGGTGTCTTCAGAGATCACGATGGATGGGACCTCTGAGCCCTGGATCAAACGAGAAGCTATACCGGGAATTTCCGATTCCGGGAACATGAAGAGCCAATGGAGGACGTTGCATCCCTGGGCATCGAGCCGAGAGAGATCAAGGGAGCCGTCTGCTAAGTCTAGTAGATGCCGGGTTACCTGGGTGTCGCCGAGCTTGCAGGCAAACATGAGGGCCGAGTTCCCGCTCTCATCAGTGGAGTTGGTGATTCCGCCCGGGGAGAGGTCAAACCTCTTGTAATTCCATTCGCCGAGCATCCAAGGAGAGAGCTGAGCGTCTGGTGATTCTCCCGTCAGAATCTTCCGAAAGCCATTCCGTACGCAGCTGAGATATGAGTGCATAACAGCTACCTTTTGATCAAAAAGCGGTTGGAAGCTTCCGGCTACTACAAGACCCTTGGTGGCACTAAGTTTCAGCAATTTCTGGGCCTCCGCGACGTCTCTAGTAGTCCCAAATCCAACCAGATAAGCCATTGCAGTCTGAAATGAAGCCCGAGATGCGGCGTCGGAGGTTCCAGGTTCGGAGCCAAGCTGTATACAATCCGCCAGAACTTGACGTTTGACATAGTGCGGTAAGAACCGTGCCGACCAAAATATGTCGAAATTCCAGGAGGACTTCATTGAGGCGCCGTCTTCAGAAATGGTCTGGGTAGTACTCAGTTTAGAGAACAGTGTCAAAAACGGAACGTCAGCAGTACGCTTCTCAGGGTCAATTTGGAGAGTCCTAGAAAACACTTCCGCCAAGTTGGAGACCTGCTTGGTGTCGAGACGGGTTCCTAGAATTTCCTTCGTTTCAGCGGAAGCCAACTCGGCGAATTGTGAAGAAGTTTGAACAAGGTCGTCTAGGTCGGTCGAACTCATGGTGTGGTCGCTGTTTGTAGAAGTTGCACCGCTCGTGCCGCGCGCACTATCGATTCTTTGGTGTATCAAATCGCAGCGGAAGTAAGGATTTCCGTCTCTAAAAACTTCCCAACAGAGCAAACCTAGAGACCACATGTCACATTTTCGAAAGTTGAGAGTAGGCGAGTTGGAGTGGCGAGATTGCTGTACTTCCGGCGCATTATAGACCAGTGTTCCCCCGTATCTTTGCAAATACTCTGGTGCTTCTTCGTTGTAAAGAATGCGTAGGGAGTGCCCGAAGTCTGACAATCGTGCTACCACCCCAAATCTTCTACCTTCGACGTCTGGGACTTCCGTAGCGTTGTCTGAATCTGAAGAATCGGAAATCGCGGCTGCAAGGACGTTGTCCAGTTTAAGGTCGCCATGAGCAATGCCGCTGACGTGCAAAGCATGAAGACCACGAGCAACATCCTGACAGAGGATTAACTTCTCTTCAGGTGAGATTTTATGGCTTTTCAGGAAATTTCGAAGTGTGCCGCCTGGCGCAAAATCGGTGACTAGAAAAGGGAGAGCCCCTCCTGCTTGGTGATCCCAGCCGTAGCCCATAAGGTGCAGGATATTTGGATGTTTTGCATGCCCATGCATTACCTGTTGGCGCTGTTACGATATTACTCGTCGGACACTGAGAGAATTAATACCTCAACGTCCCGTAAAATGCATCCTATCTGTCTTTGAAATCCTTGTAGGTCGCTCTTGACCGAGGGCAACTTGATCTGCTTTACCGCATACACTGCGTTCTTCCGTCGGTGGTAACATCTCCATACTTTATACGAAACACCTTCTCCAACCGGATTAGGTCCATAAGTAAAAGACGACCCTTCGAAGGTATCGAGATTAATCTGTTGGACTGAAGCGAGAAGGGACTGTAGGCTGTCGATTTTCCGGTTGGAAGGCTGAGAAAACCCGCCAACGCTTGAGAGGATCGTACGAGAGACCTGAAAAGAGCTGTACTGTACGCGTCGTTAGACGAAGCTGAAGCTGGGAGATTTCTGAAAACTTACATCCCACGATATGCCTTCTAAGGAGGCCATAGGTCTTTCATCGTACTGCACGATAGATTTACAGAAAGGCTACGTATGATGAGGGGGCACACATGGATGAGAGAGCGGGAAGGCTGAACAAGCAATGTAACGTGCGCCCAGCGTGCCCGGCGTGCCCGGCGTGCCCAGCGTGCCCAGCGTGCCCAGCGTGCCCAGCATGCCCAGCATGCCTAACTTGTGTTCGCCGAGGTCGGTTGCGCATAAATGTTGTCACACGAGTGAAGCCTTGCGAGCTGAAACTCTGCTGATGATCTAGGCTCTCGCTGCCCCTCTTCAACAATCGCCAATCTAAAAGAAGCGAGTGTCTCCGTCCTCGAAAGGCCTAAGAACAGCAGAAAGGACGACAGAAGTGCAAAAGCGACTGTTTGCTCTGGCACGCCGTCTGATTTCAGCCTGTTATTGCGCGAAGTTGACTCGAGAAATTTCGCGTTGAGACGACCCGGCTGTCAAAATGATTGATGGTTTGAGCATAGCTGGTATGTGAGATTTCAGTGACTCGTCATCAGAATTAAACTGTCTCTGGGCTTGTGCAGACTTGCGCGCTCTGGTCTGAAGGCTGGGCACAGATACCACTGCTTGAATAATACTTTGGAAGCGCGACACCGCCGTCAAGACCAGCTCCGTTACCAGAAAACCGTTCAGCGAGGAGGTTGTTCAGATCATGAACACCCCTAGCAGTGATCAATGCGTGTGCATAGACTTATGGCATGCCTCTGTAGCTACCTTACGCTCTGTAGACTGACTTGTCAAGGGCTCACAATTGCGAGCGTTGACCAGCTACTCAAACTTGGGGAGAGAACTGCTCAATTAGTTTCAGATATGAGAGCTTTTCAAGATGTGAGTCGAGTGCGCTTTTTCCGCCGTTATATAAAGCAGCATGAACTCGTCGTTTGTCTGATAGTATGCCAGGTTAACGATCAACTCCGGGGTAAAATCCAGCATGAGAATTATCGAACCGATCTCCTTCGCCGGCTCTTGTTCGACCCAGCTCCGGCCTACGGAGGCTCAACGCTATTCGAGAACTTTGATGAAGAAGGGCAGGATCATATCCGAGTATTCTTGGGGCGCGTCGTCCACACGCTTCGCGAGGCGCACGACCTGCTCGAGAAGCGCTACGGGATGCAGGATTCTTCTGGGGGAGAGTATGCAGAGAAAGGAAGGTCCGACTCTTCGTCATCTTTGACTTTGCTATCGTCATTCTGGGGTAGTATTCCTTCGATTCCGCGGACTCCAAGTCCTCGCCCGCCCCAGCGTACTCGGTCAAAAGGCCCCATGCTGCTACTGCGATGGTCCTTGCAAGATAAGAAGCGGACCGAGGAAATACTGAATGAGTGGATCGACTTGAATTCGCGAATTCGAGAAGACGTAAAAATGATGTGCCTAACGTCGTCGATCGGGCTCAATACCCAGCATCTCCGTCGTCTCGAGGTAGACGAAGACTCGAAAGAGTTGGGGTTCAATCTAGGCGCCGCCCTTCAACTATCAGCAAGCCAAGATACGTGCGAAGATATTGACTTCAGGCTGAGCGATCCAGTTTGGATGGCGGCCTTGTCAAAGTCGGTACCAATTGACGACAGCTTTGCGGCACTCGAGTACCAGGGCAAGAGGTACTTGCAAGAGACTCGAAAGTATGAAGCGGGCACAACGCCACCCCGAGAGCTCGATCAAAGAAGTAGAGAGAGAGTAAATGGACTAGCGTCCCTCCTTTCGAGGCCGAAAGAGACCGAGTTCTGTATTCCACGATGCGTTGGCTGGGAATATGTGGCAACTCAGTCACAGATAGCCTTCATTTTCGAAACTCCAGAAAGAGTATCTGCCAAACCCGTCAGCCTATTGCATCTTTTGAGATTAAAAGAAGTCCGACTATCATTGAGTCAAAGGCTTGCGCTAGCGTCAGCTTTAGCAACCTGTATATCGCAGCTACACATGGTGAAGTGGGTCCACGAGAGCTTTCGGAGCGAGAACATCCTCTTCTTCCCCGGGACGTCATCGGCAGGGAAAAGTGACTTCGGTATCGACTATTCCAAGCCTAATGTCTTGGGGTTTGCGTACTCACGCCCTGACATGGATTTTTCAGCTGGTTTGACGGACGTGTGTATGGAAAGAGACGTCTACCGCCACCCGGACCGCCAGGGTTGCCCAGCAAACGTGTTTATCAAAAGACACGACATCTATGCTCTTGGTGTTGTTCTTTTAGAGATCGGACTGTGGCAGCCGGCTATCACCCTCGAGAGCAATAATTTTAAAAATGCACGGGACCCAGTAGCCATCAAGATGCAGCTTTTGAAACACGCGTCGAGACGTTTAGGCGATAAGATGGGAGACAACTACGCCAAAGTGGTCGATGTCTGCCTTACTGGAGAGTTTGGAATCCAGAATGATACCAAAGAGGACCTGAAGTTGCAGCAAGCGTTTCATGTGCAGGTAGTAGAGGTACTCGCTCGGATGTCAAGCTGCCTTTAATGATTAGAAAGACTGGTCTCAGAATCTCAATTGCGACTGAAAACAATTGCGGCTCTCCGTTTTCGATACTCATTATCTGACGGCGACGATGCGCACTAATCGTTCAGCGGGATGCTGAGCAGATAACCTGCTGGATCGGCGAAGGCATTGAAGCTGTAGAAAGACGAGGCGCAGCGTAAGCAAGGAGGGCTTCACACCCATCGGGGCACCAATTAGGGCGGCGAGTCAATACTAGAGCCGAGAGACAGGATATGAGCGGGAGTAAAAAGATGGCGTGGTGGAGGTTGGTGATGGGATGGAGTCGTGAAAATGCGGAAAGCTTGGACCACCGCTCTGATCTTCGCATTTGACTCCACATCGGTTACTCCCCTTCTCTCATGCCACTTATTGAGCTCTTTGGGGCTGGACTGGCTACTTAGGGGTTTGCATGAAGCACCAAGCGCATAGGAAACATGACTTCCCTAAATCACAGCAAGAGAATTTCGCAATTTTTATGTAGAATTCTTCTAAGGGTCCGCTGATCAGCATCCCTCTGATAACCAACATCGATTTGAGTATGGCTAGTAGCCGTCGCAGGTCGTCCTATCAATCATACCCGCCATTCTCGTGATAGCCGTCATCTTTCTTAGTCGCCGGGTAGTCCCCGCGGCGTTCTCAATCATGGTGCCTCGCCTCCGCCTCCGGCTTCGCGTTCTCATCCATTAACCCAATATAGCATTTCATCACCCCTTTCACACACTCCATATTCACCACTATACTAGGCCCAAGGAGTGGTGGACTCCAATCGCCAACCTTCAGCCTGTCCCACTTCTGCCATGTCGACCGCTGGAACCACTGGGCAATCCAGACCATCGGCACCGCTCGGGTGATGATGCGGACGTTGTTCGGCTTCGAGGAGTCCACGCCCTGCCAAACCCGGCCTCCGTTATTCTTGGCGGCGTTAAATGTGACTCCAGGGCAAGATTCAATCTTGCCCTGCCAGTCTTTGGTCTCTTGGCCATCGGGGAATTCTTCTGACCACTCAGTCCTCATGGGCGCGGCCGGCTCGATCATGAACTTACCCGCCGCGCCCGTCATTGGAACGATGATATAATCGAACACCCACACTTGCCAGCACGTTCCGAGTTCGGCTGAAGCGTCGCCTTTTTGATGGAAGGGCTCGCGGAAGCGCATGTTGGTGAAGCGTGGTCTCAGCACCTTCCAGTAGCAGTGTGCGACCTCGTGAACGAGAATGGTGGCTAGCATGAACCAAAATCGGATTTTGTAAACCAGCTTCGCTGTGGGGAATTTGTTCTTCATCCACCAGAAGTACTGGTAATTTACTCCTATCACAGGCAGCAGCGGGCGACCCGGGAAGTTTGGTAGGTTGGAAGCCCTGGCTGGAGGCCAATCCCGGGCGGGAATGCGGCTCTTAGGATCAAACCTGGTTCGTTCAGAAGTGGTAGTTCCGTAAATATGGTTTTCCGTGCAATGACCAGGTGTCATAAAGACCAAAGTGACCTTCTGAGCCAGAATCAGAAAATTCTTTTTAACCTGCTCAATTGCCCCTCGAGTATGCTCGAAATTGTTACCCCTCAGATAGTATCTCCCAGCAGCATCACATGTCTGCGGTGTCCCAAAGGTCATATGACTCCACCAGGGCAGGAGACACTCGGTGGTGATGAGCTTCGAGGCAAGTCTAAGTGCCGGTACCATTCGATCGTAATAAAGTTCCTTACTTCCGGAGGAGCCTTCGGGCATGTGTCGGCCATCAATGCCCATCCATCGGTCTATGGCGAATATTGGATGAATGCCATTATTGAGGTCGGGCAGCGCTACATCGTCCAATTTCCATGCGCCGGATGCTCTTAGCTCGGGCCGGTGGTCTAAGAAAACTTTGTAGACAATGGCGGCCCAGTCTTGAGAAGCCATAGCGAGCGGTCGATGTATAGTGATATAGAGCTTGGGCTAGGGAGCCGTCGTTCTCAAAGAAGGAGCTAGCTTTAGTGGTGGCAGCAGCTCTGAGTGGATGTTGAAAAAGTAAAAGATATTGCATGCTGAGAACATGTCTATAATTTATAAGCCAGCTGACAGTGATGAGCACTCACTGTCACCTACAGAAAAAGGTGAAGGGAAAGTAGGGACAGCCTCAAAGACACTAGCTGGCCGCAGATGGCGACGTGCAGTCAAGACATTCACTCTTATACACGTGTATCTTCCAGAAACGTGGCAGTCCAGTCTTGAAGCTTCCTGTTGGCGGTTGTTGAAGAGCAGCCGGTTATACGAGTCAACGAGTCTAAAGTAGCAAAGAAAAGTTTCATACTGATAATTTGATTCGATGGGATGACTATTCTGCAGTGGCTCTAACAGACACGTACGTATTCCCGGCGGTCATCGAGAATATTCGAACACCTACCAGAGTAAGGGGTTCTGGGTTCTAAGGCTCCGCATTTTGGCAGTTACTTCCGCTTCCGTAATACCATCGCCTTGTTGGCTGGTGCTGGATCGAGCCTAGCTGCCGCCATTCGTCCTTCCTATAGCTGCTGCAGCCTCTTGGCACACTCGTGCAATTGCACCGGTTCGAAGCGCATTGGCGCGCGCGGATAGAGACTGAGGTTCGCCTTTATCCCGACGGGAGAGATCGGGGTGCCCTGCGGTGGCTGGGTTATACGTGTCGGCGCAGAAGGCGGGCAGCATCTTCTCTAGGCCTTCGCGTTCCCCGACCACCTCGAGGAAGAAATACTTGTACCATCCGGCTCGGTTGAGCGCGGGGATGTAGCTTGGGTAGGTGGAAGTTGGCGCTGGGAGGTTGGGCGAGATCTTGAGGGATTGAGGAAGCGGGATTTGCGAAGGTGTAAGGCGAGGCTCGTTGGGGACCATGACGTGCGGGATCCCTTCTAGTGTCCACAGTGACGCGAATGCGTGGAAATTATTGTGCATGAAGAGTCCTAACTTCTTGTTAGACTTCATTAAGTCGTGGGTCATCCGGCGGGTATGTGGGGTTTAAGTGGCGTGGTGGTTATCTGAATAGTGAGACTTACTTGCAGGCTCGTCCGCCATTTCTTGCACTTTCCAGCTTTCAAGAATCTTGGAAGCTTCGAGGAAACCTACAAGATTCAAATCAGTCAGCGTGAGTTTGAGAGGGCGATTTCGAAAACACCCTTATTCCATAGGTAATGGAAAACTTACCTGTATTCTTGGGCTCACACTTCTTGTCCAGTCCGTCAAATAGAAGATCGGCAATGACGAAAAACTCTGGAGTTGGTTGCTCTGTGCTAGGATCCACAATGCGCCAAGGACCAGTTGAGATATGAGCGGATACACTACTTGTACTAATCGCTCGACGCGGTACTGAGAATGACTGTGGTCGTGACCCGGTTGGTGCGTGATACGCCTGATATTGCTGGGGCGGTGGTGTGGGCTTTGACAGTGGGTTGACTGATGACTGTGCGTATCCCCAGTCAGCTGGAAGTTCGGCAATGAACTCAGTCGGCGGAGGCACAGAGCTCAGCGGCGGTTGAGATGTGGTAGGCTTAGATTCTATGTGAGATGGTGTGGCTTCCGGAGGTCCTCCTGATTGCTGTAAAGGAGGTGGTGAGACTTGATCAGGCGAAAACTGCGGTGGATTGATGGGAGCTATTTGATACTGATTTGCGGGGCTCATAGGAGCTGACGTCGGAGTTGGCGTCCACTGAGGTGGCTGAGTAGTGGCACTTTGAGGCACTGAAGGAGTGGGGAACCCTTGGGGTGGAGGCGTTGGGTTAAAATGGGCGGTGTTTTGTGGGATCTCGGGCGATGCAATATTTTGAGGATTTTGTTGTACGTTCATTTGTCCATTATCAGGCCATTGTTGACCCTGATTTTTCATATCTGGCGAAAATGCGGTCACGTTCTGCGGCGCCGGAGACACAGGGCTCACATTCTGGGTAGGGTTTATTCCAGGTGTAAAAGGTGTACCACTTATACTAGTTTCTTGTTGATATTGCCCTTGTGGCGGTTGCTGCGGTTGCTGCGGCGCTTGGGAAGGGCTAGGAGTCTGTTGAGGAGGGAAGTAGTTATTCGGAATAGGGGGCACATGGTTGGAAGGAGGTATAGGTGATTGCTGGGTATTTGTATATGTTGGTGATTGCCAGTCGTTAGGTTGGGCTTGCGGGGTGCTTGTCTGTGGTTGCTGCGGACTAGGTTGGTATTGGGGTGTATTCGTCTGCGGTTGGATTGGTGGAGTAGATTGATATTGTTGTGGATTGCCCTGTTGAGCTTGCGCAGGATTTTGATATTGAGTGTTTGCCTGCTGTTGTGGATAGTTCTGATACTGCTGGGCGGTTTGTGGGTTGTTCTGGTACTGTTGTGCTGGATTCGTATAGCTGCTCGACGACGACGGTTTGTTTAGCTTCTGGCCGACGGTTTTGCTCAGCTTCTGCCACGCTGGTTTCGATGTTGTCACGGCTTGGTTGAACACCTGATTGAGGGAGGCGACAGAGAACTTGGAGGAGCCATGGGACTGGGCTGGCGAAGGATTCTGGTGCGGCGCATACGTACTGCCGCCGCTGGGTGCTTGATATGGCGACGGGCTGGGCTGCTGTTGGTAGTACTGGCCGGGCTGCTGCTGTTGTTGCTGCTGCTGGCCTTGAAGTGGTCCTTGTGGCTGTCCTTGCTGTTGGGGGTATTGTGAAGGCGACACGGATGGGGGCGGGACATAGGCGCCAGGGATCGGGGCGTGAGGAAATTGGAACATGGCAGCGACAGACAATGAGTGATCACAGTAGACTAGATGAATAGAGAAGCGCAAAGATATGATTGTACGGTGCTAAGAACATGTAAAGCGAAAGAATGAGGTTGGAGAGTAGAGGGGTTCCTCAGCCTTCGGAGGATTGTAGCCCTTTGTGGAGCTTGGCAATTGTGGCTTGGGGTGGTCCGAGCAGGACGAAGACAATGGAGAAGAAAACTCGGAATTTACTGTTAGCAAACAACTCGAAGAAATGTTGAGAGGTACGAACCCCGCACACCTGACTCGAAGTTCTGTATAGACTTGTGGTGTTGAAGTCTCAAGCTCGACGTCCATCTCCGACGTCGCTTGACCTTCCTCTTTCAGCGTTGCACCTCCGCTCCCCGCAAAGTGGCTCCCCTCGTCCTAGCTTTCCACTCTCTATCATGCCACTGTCAATAGCATCGGGCGAAGGGGCGGCCGCTCTCACGTAACGTCACTTGATGCCCGGTCTGCGGAGTAGGTCGCGGCCAGCGGCGGCAGTGACGCAGCATGTCTAGTCCGCTTCCTTTTAGTATCTTCCATACCAACCAACATTCAATCTTCACACCCCTCAAGCTTTGTATTCTCCCCACAGTTGATATACGTGCAAAATGAGAGCTGCAAGATACTACGGCAAAGAAGATATACGGATAGAGCAGATTGATGAAGCTCCGTGTGGAGAAGGCCAGGTTCGCGTAAGTACAAACCACAGCATTGCCAGAGCATCCGTGTTGTCTAGTCTAACAACTTGCGTACTCCAGATAGCCCCAGCATTCGTCGGCATCTGTGGGACAGATCTTCACGAGTATCTCGGAGGCCCAACCTTTGCGCCCACTTCTCCCCATCCTGTCACGGGTGATACTATCCCCATTACATTCGGCCACGAGTTCTCCGGCGTGGTAAAAGAAATCGGGAAAGGCGTGAAGGGGTTTCAAGTAGGACAAAATGTGGCTGTACAACCCACAATATACTGTCGGACCTGCCAGGCATGCACGCGAGGTGTCGAAAATGCTTGTTACAGGGGGGGCTTCATTGGCCTCAGTGGCGGAGGAGGTGGACTCAGTGATTCCGTGGTCGTTCCAGTGGATACATTGTTTCCCCTGCCATCGAATGTTTCTCTCGATATTGGCGCCCTCGTCGAACCGCTGTCAGTAGCGTGGCATGCCATCTCTGCAGCCCCAATCACCCCGGACTCCACCGTACTGGTACTCGGGGGAGGGCCGATAGGATTGGCCGTCGTGCAGTGTCTGTCCGCTTTGAAGACGAAGAAAATCATCGTGAGTGAGGTGTCGTCGTCCCGGCAGGCCTTCGCCGGCCAGTTCGGAGCTCACCACGTTCTCAACCCGAAGACATACGACCTCGTCGCCATGAGTAAGGAGTTGAGTGGAGCCGACGGTCCAGACGTCGTTTTTGACTGTGCTGGGGTTCCAGCGAGCATTGCAACAGCTACTCAGGCGGTGAGGGTCCGTGGAACAATCGTCAACGTGGCCATCTGGGAGAAGGCGATTCCATTCCAGCCAAATAATCTTGTTTTTCGTGAAGCTATTTACAAGGCTGTCTTGGGCTACCAGAGGAAGGATTTCCAGGCTGTCATTGATCATATTGCGAATGGTACGTTACGCTCATTTCGATATTACAACTACAGATAGACTAACGTATAGATACAGGGACGCTGAAGCCAGAACGCATGATCACTAGCAAGATCAAGCTTGAAGACCTAGTGGAGAAGGGCTTCTTACCTCTGATAAATAACAAGGAGAAGCATGTCAAAATTTTGGTAGACCTCAGCGCAAAATAGCCATCTTCAGATATTTGGGATATGCACTTAACCCAGAGGATAGGTAGTCTAGGTGAGAGACTATATTGAAGTACTCTTCCCATTGCATACAGCTCGCCTACTGTCGCAAAATTCATCCTCTTTATCGTCTTGCAATTCTCCCTAAATATTCAAAAACACGAGTCGACGGTACGGGCAAATTGCCACTCGTCTGACTCGTATGGACATTGTGAATTGTGACTGTGCGGCGACCCCGGGTGCCTAGCCATTTTCGCATCAGGCCTCTTAGCCTTTTCTTTCTCTCAATACCCACTGCAGCCTAAGCCCATCTCAATTCCACATTCCCACATCAGCTTTTGCCCCATGGGTACAAACTAAAATCGAAGTCATGGAAATCGACGGCCCTGCGCCTAATGTTCCGCCCAACACTGGCGCCGAAATACAGATAATCGTCAAAACGCGTACGTACCATATTTTTTTTTTTTCCAATTTACTACCCCTCAATCACACCAAGCGGGGAACCTAACTCCCCTTTGAGTAGGCGGCAGGCGAATCCCAATACAAACGCAGTCGTCGGCAACCGTTGAGGACATCAAAATATGCATCCAGGATAAAGAAGGCCGCTACACTCAAATACCGTGTTTGGTATTTCGGGGGCAGAGGCTAGAGATTGGCAGGACTATGTCGAGTTATGGCGTTCAACAAGATTCCATCTTGCACGTGGTTTGGATCCATCCCAGATTTGAATCGATCACATTGCCGGATGGCACCGAAGCAGAACACCAACTTGAGCAATGAAGAAAGAAAATGGTGTTTGCACGGCTACAGACTATCAACCGAGTTTCTTCTAAATCTAATTCCAACTTCGCACCTTGTTGCTGGGTGTTTCCATGCACCTCATCCGCCCTGTTTGTAGATGATTGTCTTTTTGGCTGTTTGTAGCCATGGGTTATATGGCTAGCTAGGTGGTATCTCCAGCATCATCTAAGTTCGTTCATTAACACCCCCATTCAGCTATCAACAGTGCTGCTTATTGAAGTCTCGAGAATATGGAGGTCGGCGTCGCTGCATCCATCATCCAATTAGTCAGTACAGGGTTCAAGATATCAGTCAAGCTGTCCGCCTTTGCCGAGATTGTACGAGACGCCGAGAATACCGTAACGCAAATCAGCGTCCCGTAACGCAAATCAGCGTCGACATTTCTGTGACCCGTGGGATCCTGTAAGGACTAGGTATCTAGCCACGAAGCAAGCGCTTACTCTGTCTCTCAGGTCCCAGCTAGCAGAGCTCATTCAGCCCAACCCGGCTAGCCCAGCGCATAGTCTATTGAGCAAGGAAGGATCAAAGCAAAGCTGTTGAAGCACTACATACAGTGGTAGAACAGTGTACACAAGACTATGGCAATACGCTGCGGGAAGTAAATGCCAAGCGAGGCGCAAAGATTGAGGTCAAGAAAGGGAAGCTGGTTCTGGTGGTGCCAAAATTGACATCGCATCGTGATCTTGGAAAGACTGCTGAAGCACCCCATGCAGTGGCAGAACACTGCAATCATGGTTATGATGACGCCCTGTATGAAGTAACCAACAAGTGCATCGAACACCTAGAGCGTTTCCACCGAAGGCCGGATACGGTGTTGAGGTAAATGACATTACATCTTCGTTTTCTTAACTCCATCGAAGCGCTACGTGCAGTGGCAAAGCACTGTGAACAGGTTTGTAGCGACTGCTCTTGTATGATGTGTATGTCAAATGAGACGCAAAATTGAGTCTTTTGAATATGAGGCCGATTCAGGTGGTATCGAGTTTGACATCGCATCGTGATTTCCCAGTCCACTGAAGCACCACATGCAGTGGCAGAACAATGTGCGCAGGGCTATGACAACGCTCTGTACGGAGAGTCAGCCATGAGTATGACGAAGAGACTGAGCGCTCGAAGACCCTTGAACCGCCTTGCTACTGACCTGTGTACACACGGCTGCCATCGCTTGAGGTGCCTCGATCCGTTTTCTGACATCCAAACTAGACAGAAATCCATCGTTTTGAGCCACTCGAAAGTTGGTCGGGCCGCCTCAGGCCGTCGCAAAAGGGTGTACGATGCGCCTGTCGAACGTTCAAAGACCCTTGAACCGCCTCGTCACCGACCTATATATACACGGCTGCCGCCGTTTAAGGTGCCTCAATGCGTTCTCCCAAATCCAAATGAGACCAATATCCATCCTTTTGACCTCCCAGAAAGCTCGTCGAGCCACCTCAGGCGATGGCAAAAGAGGCCCATCGAGCGTTTAGAAGAAGGTCCGAATCAGGCCCTGCCGAACTTGACATCGCGTCGCGAGTTCCGAAAGTCCGTTGGAGGACCACAGACAGCGGCAAAGACATGCACACAAGCAAATGACACAGCATTGCAAATCAGAGTAGTCAAAGCAAAAAAAGAAATGTCATTGGAAAAAGAGAAGCTATTCCGGCTACAAAAGCATGCCAACTCAATTTAGCTCAACTCCTTCTATCCCTCTGACGATGTGTGGAGGCCGGTGGTTTGAAATGACAGCTCAGATTTCATCGTGCTCCACGGGCAGGTCCAGCGGTGTGAACGAGTGGAAGATCTTGTCACAGGGGTATCGACAGCATTGTTTGCCAGCCTCCTGATGGGCGCAATAATAGGTTAGGTCGGCTCCTTCCAGGCAGGGGGGCCCATCCTGTAAATGTAAAAGTTAGCCTGAACTCTGGCAGTACAGTATGATTGCGCATGTGACATACCCCTTTAGGCTCACAATGTACAAGAGAAAAAATGGATGCCGGGAGGCCTCCCAAAGAACTGATTCGCTTGACTGTCTTGAACTCGTTCTTGATGGCCTCGTCACCGTTCATCCCGGCATCACACGCGAAATCCGCGATGGCCTCAAGCGCGGATTCCACTATGCTTTTGTGATAGTTGAGGGACTCGTGATAGGTGAAAATGGAAGAGATCTTCTGATGCGCATGGAACAATCTGTCCTTCACTTCCGCCGCCTGCCGTAGAGTCCGGAGTTCGTCGCCACCAGGGGCATCTGCGACTTCCCTGAGAGCAACCCAAGCCCTGATGGCTTTGACGTTTAGATCATCCCCTTTTTTGGCGGCCATGGTGATTGCGGCAGAGGTCAAGGCGAGGAGGATGTAGGTGGTCTTCATGGTGGGGCTAGGATGGCGATGGGGAAACGAGATGGAGTAGATGGAGTAACGAGATGCAATAGACGATCGATGGACGATGAATCGATGAATGGACCGATGGACGATGGACGATGGACGATGGATGATGGGTGACTGATGGATGATTGATGGAAGTTGGGGGATTGTTGATGGATGGATGGAGGAAGAGGGAAGATGGCAGCTTAAATAGTTGCAGCCGGCTCCGTTCGCCGCTTTCCTCCCGGGTGGCAGCTCCTCACTTGGATGGCACTCGTGGAAGGCCCTGCTAGAGAAATAGTGAGAAGACGGGCACAAATCGGCCGGCGAGGAAGCAGCCATGTGTGTCTCGCCAGGCCCTCCTCCAATTCCTTCGCGATGAAGCTTGCACTCGCCGCCGTCTGACGTGACTCAACGAGTCTACCGAGGGCTCAAAAGGATGGATTTCTATCTCGTTCATGGCGTTGACACCATGTCGAGGCAGCCATGACAGTGGTAAGCCAATGTACATGGGCCGAGCAAAAGCCTGTTGACAATTGCTACTGCCCAGATCAAGAGTACGCTAGGGCAGCTCCGATACCGGCGACGCCCACTATCAGCAGGTCCACTGCAAATGTGTGTAGCATGTGATAGAAAATACTCATATTGACGGAAGCTGCCCCGTGTACTTGGGAGTGTGAGAGAAGGTGAGGGTTGCGAACGGGAAAGAAGGGTCCGAGCGAATTTGCAAGGCCTAGAGACCAACAAATTGTGGAAAGGGAAGAGAGAACGGGCTAGCATTTGCCTTCCATTCTAATGAGAAAGTGAGATATTTTATGATGCCTTATCTGATGTACCAGCAGAAAGTCCGAGGCTCTCACCGAAGTGCCCTGGGTGACGGGAGAGAAAGCGCCTAGCAATCGTTCAAGGTCATTTGAAACTGGAACTCCTATCAATGATTGCAGCGCTGCTTCAATCATGCAGCCGGCGTTTGTGGCTCCCTCATCATGCAATACAGAGTGATCTTAGCATTCTTGTCCTCTCCCTCCTGACAATCCATCTCCTTGACCAGCTTGAAGCCGAACCTCTCGTAGATGGCCACGTTTGGCACATCCCGACTGCTCTCCAGGTAGCACCAGACCCCTTCTTCGTCGGCCTGCTGCAGCACTACCTCCATGAGCGCCCTCCCAACTCCCCTGCCCTGCGCCTCTGGCAATACCGTCACAATGTTGCAGAAGTAGTATCCCTTGTCGCTTGTCCACAGTACGTCCTGGGCCTTGGCCTGCTGCTCCTTCCAGATCCAATACCGAGCGGTCGAGAGCCCTCCACGCCCGTACCAGAGATTCATCCGGATCTGCGCGAACCACAGCTGCCAGCTGCTGAAGTATTCGGACCAGGATTGAGGCTGGGAGGGGGGATGTGGAGCAAGCCACATAGCGGTACCGAGGATCCTCTCCGGTTCGGCAGGGTCGCGGGCTACGTAGAAGAGACCATGCTTGACGCCCCAGCGGCAGCGGAGACCGAGGGAGACGCGGTTTCGTGTTGGCGAGAACTGGAAGAGATTAGCGGAGATCCTGGACGTATAAAAGATGGATTTCTACCTTTGAGCGGTCTGGATAGACCCACTTGTTGTAGGGGTCCTCAGCGAAGGCTTGCTGGATTGTGTCGATGGCGCCGTCGATGTCGGCTTCCGTGATTCTGTTCACCGTGATCGCCATGTTGGAGGCTGAGACCGATCGTGCTCGAGGTTTCGATGTTTGACTTGGATGAAAGAGCGGAGGCGGGCTTCATGGAGGCATAAGGAGGTCGGGGAGAGGACCAGCTGCAGCTACTGAAGCAGGAAAGCTGCAAGGCATGTCGTGTGGGGGAAAGCTGTGGAGCTGCAAACACAGGGACACCCACGATGCAGATAGGCGATAATGCTCGGTGACGCTAACATCGAATGAGAAGTCGTAGCCGATTGACGTTCCTTTGAAGTATTATCTGCGCTTTTGGACTTTCATTGACGTTCGGGGAGCTTCTGCCTTCTCATTACTGCCACATTGCTAGGTGTGATAGTTGAGGAACGTGTCCCGATTTGCACGCTCTGGCAATGACATCACGAAGTGAAGCATTGAAGTACCCTAATAGCCTGAAGGACAGTATGTGTGAAAGATCAAAGCTCAAGAAGGACTTGGTGTCTGATACATACATCCGACGGATCATCGTCCTTTCTAAGTGTGCAAATGCTCTATATCGGACTGACAAGTCCTATTCGCTTCTCAGAAAATACAAGTCTATTTACATGCATATCTCCAACAAGCAAGAAGTTGGACGAATTCAAACCAATTTCTTCTCCGTCACAGGCACTCGAAAGCAAGGCGGCATCTTCCACTCTGTCAACTGACCTCGTCTCAGGCGTGAGGTAATCACGTGCACAACTGCCAGCTGTCATTGGCTAGCGTCGCTGAGTCATCTAGCGCCTTGGCAGAAATCAAGTACTTAGTCTCCCTCGCCCTCTGAACCTTTCCGCTCAGCATACTTGTAAGCCTCCTCTCCCACCACTCCTTGCTTGACCATCACAGCTAACAAATTCTTTTCTAGACCTTGTTGGGATGGCTGAGCTCATGAATTCGGTCCATCTGGCAGACTGTCCTGCATTGCACAGCGCGGCGACGGGCTGTCATGAATCTCCTTCGGGGGCTTCACTGGCGTAATTTTTGCTGGTCCGCTCTTTTGAGCATCACTTTTCATTGATTGACTCTGCCTTGTGCGGGTGATTGAAGAAGAGCTTCGTGTGTTTCTTGATGGCGATGATGGAGTTGGTCCTCACTCTGGCTGTGGGAAATTTGCGTGATGAGGCGGCAGCCTAGGGCAGTGTTGACACGTATCTAGATGCCGCGCCGTAACCTTGATGGCATTATTGGCATCAAGAGCATCTCACCAGGTGTTAGGTCTCTCTTGCGCTATCCTCATTTAGCGTCCATTCCAAGGTTGCTGGCTTGATGCCCGCCGTGAGAGCAATCGGCCATCAACGACTGCGATTACCCGCTGCCATCAAAGAACGAGGGCTGACCATCTCACATCATCTCTAGGACCTGTTGAGCATCTCCGCAATGCATCGAGGCCCGCCTAATGTCTCCATCTGCACGCCGATTCAAGCTTCCTCCATCGATGGTGTCGGCGGGGTCGCCTGCTCTCCAACGGCCACGGCCGCGATTCCGACCTCCAGCGACCATCTCCCATCTTCGTTCGACTGCCTCATCACGTAGCTCATAGCTCTGCATCTGGACCCTAGACTCGAAACTGGTGGGTACCGATTTGGCCGCATTGGCACATTGGAGGGTAAAACGCGGGATACCATGTTTCCGGCCACACATACTTTTGATAGAAGCCCCTGGTCTTTGCGATAGGAAACCTTGAGATTGAGCAGCACATCACATTTAGGACGAAAAGATGCATGTATGGAGCTATGCTCATGACCATAGCCAGACAGTGCAGGGCGAAGCTGTCTATTACTTCAGAGAGTATCATACATTTGTGAACAATATCAAGAGCAATTTCACGCAATTCAGCTACATTGTTGCATCCGTTTCACGCTTTCCAAATTTCGCAATGAAGGTGATGGGGGCGCATACATGCAGAGTATATTTGCACTACGCTACCCAAGAGATCCTTTCCCCTCTTCACTCTCTACCCATCCCACCCCATAGATCCGACACTCTAATCCTCATCCTCATCAGCCTCGTCGTTGACGACGTTGAAGAAGCGGAGCTCGTAGACGCCCTTGGAGGTCGACACGACGCGGAGCCAGTCACGGAGCTGCTGCTTCTTGAGGAACTTCTTCGTCCTGCAACTCATTATCAGCACCGATCCCAGCTGCCATCCTAACTCGATTGTCCTAGGCGAATATGGTATAGAGCGGGGCAACCTACAAATACTTCAGGTAGCGGCCGGAGAACTCCTGGTGCGCAATAACCTCGATCTTGCCATCGCCCTGCTGCGAGATCTGGATCGTGTCGCCGAGGTTGCCGGTGCGGCCGTCGACCTTTATGCGGTCGTGGAGGAACTTCTCGAAGGCGGTGACGTCGAAGATCTTGTCGTTCGCCGGTTGGGAGGCGTTGATGATGAACTGGTACACGCAAATCGTCAGCCTTAATCCCAATTTCAATCGCATTTTGAAAACCTCTCGGGTCAAGTATCCAGGGCATAGAGCGGAAATGTATCAGAGGAATGTACGTACCTTCTTGGTGACCTTCGTTCCCTTCTTCGAGGCGGATTTCTGCGATGCACACTTAGCCTACTGTTCTATGCGGGTCTCGCCATGAAGGGGAGACCGGCGGACAGCAAAGCGGTGTACATACTGTTGCTGGTGCCATTTTGGATGATTTGTGGGAGGGTCGCAAAGAGGTGGATATCCTGCGATTGAAGAGCGTGTGGTGGGTTGGGTGCTTGGATGAGAGATTCGAGGTCCGCCTTTTTTTGAAAGTGGGCGCTAGCGTGCTTTGGGTTAGCTCGCGCCAAGATTTCGGCCAGTGAAAGCATTTTGCGTTTTGTTGGATCCCAGATCTTTCTGAGAGCCCTGGAGCGTTGATATTGGGAATAGAAATCTCATGAGGACTACAACCTGGCGGATCTCCATTAGTAGAGAGAGACACGAGAAGAATGCGATGCGCGCGCAAATTTCAAACTCATTGCTATTGCAATCACCATATCTATTATCGTATATCTACTGGTACCTAAAAGTCTGACGGAATCTATGGTCCAGAAATGAAGTGGTATTAAATGAAACGCCCAAGCTAGCTCAAGGAAAAATATACGACGTAGACCTAAAACCTGAGCGACGTGCTAAACAGTCCCGCAGAATTCTATGGCTTGACTGGCTCCTCTGCCTTTACCTCCTCAGCAGGAGCAGGAGCAGGAATGGCAACAGCCGTAATAGGTGCACTCCCCTCGCCTCCTTTCAGATAGTCCTCGCTCTCGCCAATCTTCTTCCCCGCGCTCACCCACCGCTCCTTGTACTCCTTGCGCTTCTGGTCGCAAATGGCATTGAGTGCCGGCCAGTAAACGTCGTGGTCGTAGGTGAAATCAACCTCGCCACCAGAGTTCTTGATAAGTTGCGTGGCCGGAACGTGGTCGGTAAGCGGCTCGTTGAATTTCATTTTGGTCTTGGTAAGGGGGTCGATGAAAGGCGAGATGAGTTTGAAGAAGGCGGTGACATACCAGGGGACTGTTTGTGTTAGTTCATGTTTGTAGAAGTTCTAGAGGGGCATTCAAGAACTAGAAGCGAGATCGAGGTGGTACTCACGGTGGGAAATGAGCGCTCTCCCTAGCCTCTCTGGGTAATGATTTTGCAAGATGTTCAGGACTTGCTTTCCTGTTGCTACGCTCGGGTTGCTGCTGGCAGAGCTCTCTTTGAAGTTGATCAGCAGCGCCAGAGTCTCTTGTCCTGGAGGATTGAGCTCAATCACTCTCTCGAGCATGTACACCAGATGCTGAACCTGCCGCTCGCTCTGCTTGGTGTTCTGCTTGTTTGGATTCAGATACAGACACGCACGTCCCTCGTTGTCGTACCCGTAGATGACCTGCTTCCCGGTAGCATTCTCTGGGGATATGTACTCGGCTGTGAAGCCCTCGACTCCGTATTCGCGTCGCCAGACTATAGTTTCGAGGAGCCGTTTTGAGGTATGGGGGACCTGCCATTTCGTGGCTCGAAGGTATCGCAGGATGCATTCCCGCGTCAGCCAAAGCTGCTCGTTCTCTGTAATTGGCGCAGTAGGCGCGTTCTTGGCTGAAGTGTTGGGGATCTCGGTCCATGCGGCGACGGTAGCAAGGACTTCATCGTACTTGATCTGCTCCTCGGCTGTGAGTTCAGGGCGCGGGGATGGTTTGCAGCCCGGTAGAGGGCTTGAAGGTGGTGTCTTTGCAGGCCCAACGGGGGCGGCTGGTACGGAAGGCTCTACGACGGACTTTGAATCGATGGAACTGGCGGGTCTATCTGAGGACGCATCGCCAGCCTTGGTGGTGTCTGGGCTGAGGAGGGCTTTTTCGTTTATAGGCTCCGCTGCAGGAGCAATTACTGGATCTGCAACTTGAATGGCCATTCTGCGATGCTTGGAATCAATTGCGAGTTCGGCGGAGGGACGTTGGAAGCTTTCAAGAAGCGGTGACGGATCTCGGGGGTGAGATAAGACTGGGGCGTCACACTTTGGATGAATCTACCTAACTATGTGAGGTGTTTTACGGAACAGCAAGACCGTATGCTAATGCGAACTAATGAGACAATCGATCAGGTCAGGAACTCGAGGCTGGCATCAATTTTGTAGCATCTGAAGCTGTTATGCAACGAACATTAAAACGTTCACAAGGTTTATGCAGCTAGCTAAAGAACCCTGTTGCGTCCGAGCGCCAGCCACTTTATGCGAAGCGCGTCGACGCGTCTCAAACGACCCCAACGCGTGAAGGGATACCAGGGAGTTGTACCTCCGAACTTCATCAACAGGATCACTCAACACTACAATACGCATCGCCATATTCCGCAACAATGGACGCCGAACTTGAAACCCGCTTCGGCAAGTTCGCCGACCATGATGGTGGCCTCCGACCAGAAGTTCTCGGCGAATTGCAGTCGATGCTCGGCCTCTACACGCTCGACCCGGAAGAGCTGTACTACAAATGGGAGTCCTACTGCATCAAGATGACCCGGGAAGACATGAAGCTCGATTTGAAGACAGCGAAGGACTTCAAGAAGGATATCGAGGACGATGTCGACCGCAAGAGCCGTAGTAAAGCTCAAGCGCACAGCAATAGGAAGAGGCCTGGAGCCACGCCCCGCACTAGGGGGAAGAACGCGGACGTGTTTGGCATGTGAGGATAGCCACGACTACGAGCTGCTTTGCAAACGCTAACGGCTACAGGCTTGATGGTATAGTCCCCAACACTCCGCTCCCCAATGGCATGAATGGCGTCAATAGCAGTACCATGAAGAGAAAGTCAAACTTCGAAACACCATCGTCCAAAGTCGGCAAGAGCCATCCTATGAGCTCACCCGGCGGACCTCAGACACCCTTTTCTGGCTCAGAAGCAAATGGACTGCAGACCTACGACTTTTCCGCTCGCAAGGACGTCGGCAAGATTGAAGAGCAGCTGAATGGACATATCGAGCTTGCAGAAGCCCCTGAGGAACACCCCATGGATTCGAGGTTGAAGCTGAAAACGAACACCGACATGAAGAAGTTCTCGTACAAGACAATGGCCATGAAGCTCACAGAGGCGTCTGAGGTCCTTGACGACCGAATTGACGAGTTCAAGGTTCTCGTGCAGGACCATCACAAGCTGGAAGACTCTGCGTTTGGCAATCCCGGAGTTCAGAGTACCAGCGAGATTGTTGCTGTTGGGCGGATAGCCTCAGACACCTACGGGGGTCGACTCACCAACGCATCTTTGGTCCTTGAGTCCTCTCGTCGTATGGGTTCTGGCAACCGCATACCACTTCGAGTTGATGCTGTCGAAGCCTATAACTTCTTCCCTGGCCAGATAGTAGCTCTGAGAGGAACGAACGCATCCGGTGACTTTTTCACAGTCAACGAGATTTTATCCCTCCCGTTACTACCACAGGCTGCTACGAAACCTCAAGACCTCGAAGCCCTCAACGCCCGATATCTCGACACCCCTTCATCGGATCCATCCGCACCCCGTCCTCTCACTATTCTAGCAGCTTCAGGCCCATTCACACCTGACACTGCTCTCGACTTTTCCGCATTGCAGGCTCTCCTCGACACGGCTGTTTCCAGCGTCGCTGACGCTTTAATACTGACAGGACCATTTCTAGATGCCGAGCATCCTCTCGTTCGTAGCGGAGATTTCGACCTCCCAGCATCAGCCACAAACCCTGATCAAGCCACCATCACGGACGTGTTTCGGCATTACATTAGCAAGCCTATGCAGGCTTTCTCAGCACAGCTACCTATCTGTACTATTATTCTTGTTCCATCACTTAGGGACGCTGTACATCGCCACGCAGCATGGCCGCAGGACAAACTTCCGAAGAAGGAACTTGGCCTTCCACGTCAGGCCCATGTCGTCACCAACCCAATGACCCTTACAATCAATGAGTTCGTCGTTGCTATGAGCAGTGTGGATACTCTCGACATGCTTCGCAGAGAGGAATGCGTTGGTGGGAAAGCAAAGGCTATCCCTCTTCTTGAGCGTGGCGCAAGGAGTGTGATAGAACAGCGTAGTTTCCTTCCCATCTTTCCCCCTACTGGACGGGAGAACATGCCACCGGTAGCTGCACTGCCTGGTGGGGAGAAGTTCATCAACAAAAGAGACGACGAGGAGGAAGCCAGCATGCCTTCGCCATTCCTGCCTCTTGGAGCTATGGTCGATACGAGCTACATGAAGCACGGGGAGTGGTTGAACGTGAGGCCAGATATCTTTATCTCTCCTTCTGTTTTGAGTCCGTTTGCCAAAGTACGTTCTTCCCGAGATCACCACACGCGACATGCAGTTTACTAAATCTTCGCAGTTCATCGAAACTATTCTCGTCGTCAATCCCGGCACTCTCTCGAAACGGAGATCGGCCGGAACGTATGCAAGACTAACTATTCTCCCTGCTTCGTTGACCGATGAGGAAAAGGAAGCTGGGGTAAGCGTCGCGCACAAGATGTGGGAGAGAACAAGGGTGGACATTGTACGGATTTAGAGGAAGAGTCTGATCTACTTCTTGCCGTTGGCGTCTAAACTGGACAATGGCGTTGGCATGTTCGCAAGGATGGTGTTGGATACAAGGCGTTTCTATTTTTTGTTTACGGCGAATTTGATTCGCCCTTGGTCCTGGATTGAACACAAACAAATGCAAGTCAGCCGAGCAGATCGGAATATTGCCTACTTCCTCTCATCCGGGGATCCCAGCTTGCCACCAGGCGCCACCTTGCTTGGGTGGCCGAATGAACTGCAATCGGCCCGAGCTCAAAGGACAGGACCTCAAAACCTACCTCTTCCCCACACCTCCATGATCTCTTACAGCCTTACCCATATCTAGAGCAGAAAGTATGACGCCTGCCAAAAATCGTCGTATGCCCATTAATTGCGAGCCTTGCCGATCGAGAAAGATACGATGCATTCGTAACCTAGCTCAAGGTCCATGCCAGACCTGTGCCCGCCGAGGAGTATCTCCTTCGGAATGCGTATTTCTGAGACGAAACCTTCTGGATCAAAACGCGACAGCACAACCTCCAAGCACCGTTACCAATGATGAACTTCTCGAACGTATCCAAAGTCTGGAAAGTCTACTACGACGGCAATCCGACGCGTCTCAATCTGACTACTCTCTCTCTCGCGATGCTCTGGCTCCAACACCGCCAACAACGAATGACACTTTATCTCAGTCGACCTATGCCGAGTCATCTGCCGTCTCAATACTCTTGCCTCTGAGTACTTCACAGCCAAGGAACCTGTCAGGGATGCTTCATGTATCAAATTCTGGACATGTTCGGTATCGGCCGTATGCTTCACAGTGGAACTCTCTTCTGAACGCATCTGCTCTGACTGGAACCGCGGTTACGTTTGGCCATGACCCTGCGGATGAAGAGACATCCTTCCCTTTCGACATGTCGTCTCGATTAACCATTCAAGACCTCGTCGCAAGATTGCCACCAGCAAGGCAATGCGATATGTTGAAAGACGTCTTCTTCGAAGTCTTTTCTTCTCTCTTCCACATTTTGCATGAGCCAACCTTCCATTCTGACTATGCTCGATTTCAAACGAACCCCGAGTCGATGAGCTTTTCCTGGCTGGCTCTTTTGTTTGTCATTTTGAGCATCGCAGTGACTGCCGTAGATGAGGAAGATGACATCCTTCGAGACCTCGGACGGCAACCAACGGCTTCTGATAATATGGACATGCTGTCGGCGCAATACCGAAAAGATACCATGGCATGTCTTCACGCCGATCAGTATCTCTGGCGATACAATGTTACTACACTTCAGACATTAATACTCATTATTTACGGAATCAATCACACGCATGGAAATACATGGGCACTCCTCGGCCTCTCTCGTAACATCGCAATTGGATTAGGTTGCCACGTGGATCCAGAAAGTTTTGCACTGGATCCAATACAGTCGGAAGAGCGGAGGCGGTGCTGGGCAGGGTTGATGATGCTTCATATCATACAGAACACGTCTATGGGAATATTCGATCAGCTCCCCAACTACCACCAAGTCAAACTTCCCGCAGATGTCGACGACGACGACCTCGCTACGATGTCGATGGCGACCTCATCTAAAACACCAACAAAGATGACCTATATGCTGTTCAAATTCCGCATGTACTCTTTATGCTCAAAGATCTGTGAGAAGATCTTCGGTCCCAATGTCCCACCTTACGAATGGTTGCTCGAGCTTGAGAACGAAATATTCGGTGAACAGGACGAATGGAATGCGCGCTATCTATCCGACACAAATTTTGGCGAGGTGCCGGTGTATCACACCGTGCATCTGAACATACTATACGGCTACGCGCACCAAGTTATGCTTCTTTTACACCGGCCCGCGCTCATGGACACTGCATACGGGTATTCGGCGGATCAGAGGCTCCATTCTCGGAAACGGTGTATCGAAAGCGCCCGCGGCCTTCTCGGGATCCATCGCACACTATTCGAGACGCCTCAATACAAGCCTTTTGCATGGTATAACCGCGGTCTCGGCAGTTTTCATGCCTTTCATGCTGCTGCCGTTCTCATTTTGGCTCTCGCAGCGGGGCCCCACGATCCTCAAATTGAGTTGGAGCTTACGAGTTCTTTGCAAACGTTTCAAAGAATGGCAGCGGAAAGCAGGATGTGCGCGAAAGCGGCACCACTTCTTCAACAGCTCTTGTAAGTGCAGCCGCTAGATTTCTCACATCATCGTTACCTCGTACAGTGACAGGTCATAAGTCTGCGCATACGCGTTTACCACTGCTTAGAGGTGCCCCCATGGGATTTCAGAGCCCTTGGAGCGATGTCAAGTTTCAAATAGTGCAAATCAGACTGCCTCTTGACTTATTGGCTGCTTACTAGCCAGGCTGCTCCCCACAGTGGTGTCCAGTGAGCAAGATTGGAGCCAAGCAGTGATAATTCCGCGTACTCAGACTTATGACCTAGCACTGTATTCTCGATATTCATGCGCGAAAAGAGACTCTAATAAACTCAGCAGAGCATACATACGACCAGAGCGTAACAGCGAGGTACGCAGTGATAACCACAGCACCACAGAGTCCTTCGATATTACAAGCATCCCCGGCATGCAGGATCTCATCGCTCGACTCCAACCTCAACAGTGGTTAAGCCCGTCCGCAATGCCTTGGGGAGAGTGGGACTTTCTTCTCGACAGCAACAATTTTCAACCAGCTATTGTTACATGAAAGGTTCAAAAGCATATTAAGGAATAAATACTTGTTACAAACTCCATGGCGTACATTGCTATTCACTGCGCTGATCCAAATTCTCGCAGCCTGCAAGCTGAACGCCAGTATTAAGTGGCACCAAAGGAAAGAATTTTTTGCTTTTAATAGGCTTTCTGCATCGCTTTCTTCACCTCCGGAAACTCCATGTCCGGCACAATGTTGTGCTGGTTAGCATCTTGTCCCGCTACCGGTGGTGCAACATACTCCTTTCGACCAGCTTTGTGGACCCGGCCGTTGATCATGATCACGTTCAACTTATCGTGATCTTGCAGAATGGTTATGTCCTCCAGCGGGTTGCCATCGACGAGCACGCAATCCGCGTAGAAGCCGGGCTGGATCTTGCCAAGCTCGTTCTTTTGCATGAAAAGTGCAGCTACGCCGGCTGTTGCGGAGATGATAGCTTCATGTGGCGTCATACCGATAAGCTTGACGAAATGGTCCAAGTCCCGAGCGTACGTTCCATGAGGTGTCCACGCGAAACCGTAGTCACTGAAAATTGTCAACGCACCAAACAGAAAAGACTGATTGGTCTCGACTTACCCTCCTGGAAGTATCACGATTCCTCTCCGATGCATCTCTCGCAATCCTGCAATTGCGACATCCAGCTCTCGCTTGTAGCCAACCTTTTCGGCCTGTGCTTGGGGGTACCCAAAGGCCTCTGCGTCGTACAGCGTTCCAATCAACCAATTGATTGCTGGTGCTATAATGTGCTTTGTCTTCACCTTCTCGAGCCCGTTCATTCCTGCTACCGTCAGCAGCTGACGAAGAACTGTACGGCTTGAAGACATTACCTTCATCGTCTATCCACGACGCGTGGTAAATAACGTCGACCTAAAAGACCCTATTAGCCTCGAGATCATCAAAGGAACGTTCTTACCTACGCCATGCTTAACGCATTGCGTCACGCTGTCCCTAGCTCGAGCATGTGCACAAAGTCTCTTGCCATGTTTATGAGCCTCGTCAACGCATGCGGCGGTTTCCTCGTCCGTGAAATAACAGTCTTGGGCCGACCTCGTTTCTGTAATCTAGAAAGTTACTACTCTCAGTACGGCAAACATGCCCGCTTTTCTTTCGGATGTCACTGACCTCTTCCCCTGACATACTCAGTTTGATGTTGTCAACTCCCAAATCGACATGCTCCTTGATGACCTCCCGCATTTGCTGCGGCCCATCTGCATACGCCGTAATACCAGCTACTAACTCGCCATCTGGCTTCGCCATCTCCTGCCCGTTAGCCAGAGAGCGCGGACCGGGAATATCACCCGCATTGATGGCGTCTCTGATGACGACATCTAGACGTGGCTTCGCTGAAGCCGCACCGTAGCACCTTTTTTTCATTCAGCAGCCGTTCATCTTTAACTTCACATCAAGGAGAGGGGACCAGCAGGCAACTCACATGGTATAGCCAGAATCAATATAGCACTGCGCGCTCCGCATTGTCAAAAGAACGTGCTCCTCAATCCCTAAGTCGCCTAGGCGATCCAGATCTCCACCGTTCCAGGTTAAATGCGTATGAGCGTCTCCTAGTCCAGACATCAAGGTGCGACCTTTGCCGTGGAAGACACGGACGCGCGAGTTCTTCATCAGAGCCTCCTTATCGGGCACATCGCCCACTGCTACGATGCGCTGACCTGTCGTACATCAGCACTGATTCATATACACAATTTGCAGGCTTATATCAATCATCTTACTTACCCTCAATCAGAACATCGCCCTTGTACGGCTCTCGTCCCGTAGAATCGAGGATATTCACGTCACTGAACAAAACGCGAGACTCGGGATGCGTGCCGAGAATCTCGTACCGCTTTGGCTGAAGGTTCTCCGCGAAATGCAGGTCTTCGATAGGTTTGATGTTTCTCGGGGGTCCCTCGTATGGCTTCGCTTTCATGGAGACGCTCGGCCAGGACGGGGCCTCTGCTTCGGTGCAAGCGGGTGCCATTTTCGAAACCACGAGTGCTTGAATGTAGACAGAAGAACAAAGAAGTCGATATCAACTGTCCGGATCTCAAGAATTGCCAGTAGCAATGCAGTGACAAGAGCAACTCTTCAAGTTTCTACAGCAAAATCAAAAACGGATAGTCCTATATACACTTCACTTGCGCCCTCGCCAGTCTCAACGGCGTCTTGCATTACGTCTGCCCTGTCTCCTCTGATTCGCCGCCGCACCGCACCCGACCTCCCGGGGCCAAATGCGGGGAAGTATGGAGAAGAGCCGCAGCGTGATGGTCTACTCCGCGGTGTGCGTGAGCAGTGGAACGCCGCGCTTCGCCGCCTTCTCCGCGGCGACGCTGCGGCATCGACCATCGTAACTAGCGACGGTCTAACGCTTCGCTAATATCTGTAGCATCTAGCACGGCACGTGCGGATGCAAGAAGTCACGAAATGAGGAGGGTGTATGCCTCACCCGGTGGACTTTAGACCATCCTAGACCATCCCATAGGTACCAATATTCCACCATAACCAACCTCTACCAACCAAGCCACGCCGCAAACTCTCGAACATCCACATCCGCCATGGGCTGGCTCCAAAAAACCCGCGGCTACAAACCCGGATCGCAAATCACCGCGTCCAGCCCAACTCCTATCCACGCATCCTCCCTCTCGAGCTCTCTGGACAAAGAAGACGGCGTCGCGCACATCGAGTTCCTCGCCCTCGACACCCCACCCGCAACACCGCCAGAAACACCTCCAGAGACATCGTCGCCGCGGCGTCGGCGACTGTTCGCGGATCCAGCAACACCGAATTCAGCACTTCCGTTCATTCCGGCGGAGGAAGTGATATCCACATCCACTCCTTCCTCCCCGGCACAAAAGTTCCTGGTCATCGACGAAATCGTCTACGACGTCTCGACTTACATCTCCTCGCACCCAGGGGGTGAAGCGGTTGTGCAGAGCTTCGTTGGGCAGGACTGCAGTTGGCAGTTTGCGCGGTTTCACGGGCGAGATGTGCTTGGGGAGGGGGGGGAGGGGTGGCGGTTGAGGGTGGGGAGGACGAAGGGGGTGAAGAATCGGTTTAAGGAACCGGTGAGGTTTGTCGGGTTGAGGCGGTTGGGGGGTGGGGGGTGGGGGGTGGGGGGTGGGATGAGGAATGGGAGTGGTGAACGGGGGAGGGGGAGGACGGGGGCAAGGAAATGAGGGAGGGTAGATGTGTGGATATGAAGTAATGATAGGATGAATTTAGATGAATATCTAGGTGCGCATGCTGTAGGTCTAGTTTGCATGTTGAGTAGGTGGTTTCTTGGCCGTGGGCCTCATGGTGTTCAGGAGCACCACTGTCAGTAAATTCAGAGTGCCTGGAAGCTGTTCTTTCTTAGGTGCAATTCGAAATGCAGAAATTGAGACATCCTGCGTGATGATTTGATGATGCGCTCGGCCATCCTTGACATTGGCGAAGAAGCCGCGAGAGGTCGATATTGACAGCAGTTCAAGGGGCCATTTGCCTTCTCTAGAGTTTATGCACGCCATGATACGAGCCCTGCTATCGTCGAGCAAAGGCTATTTTGAGGAGACCGAGGGCAAGAAGGTATTTGCTTTAGCGCAAATGAAGGGCAGTATAAACAGCACGATGACTGTTTTACATATCTAGGAAGAAAATGGCAATGAATTTACAGAGCTAGCTGAAGACATGCACCACATATATTAGTCCTAGAAAGTGAATTGGACGAAAATTGACGCCAGATGGGGTACTTTTATGGTCCAAATCTCCTTACTCCTCCTTGTGCATAGCAAAAGTTGGCAAATTGATAGGCGTGACTCCACCTGCCCAAAGTCCTGCACAGCCGGCCCAGTCTGTGAGACTATATTAGCCAAGATCATGGCTACTAATGAGGATAATGGCAACTTACAACTCAAGAAGACAACAACGTACCCGACTGCGTATCCAGCGGTAAGAACGTTCGTGCTGTTTACCATGAATCCAGCCGCTAATAGGAGAAGAACGATATCCAAAAAGAACAAATCCAAGAAGAGGATCCAGGAGGAACGCATCGCCGCAACGGTGTAGATCATGGTCACAATGAACCACGCCCAGAGGTACAATGCGATGGACTGGCCAAATTCCGGGCTTATTGCTCCAGTTGTTGCGTCCGTATACGCTGCAATGATCCCAGATCCAGGCAGGTAGATCATCCCGTAAGAGAGGTTGAAGGCGCCGTAGGAAGAGAACACAGTGGCACCGAACGTGTTGCCGGCCACGAACTCCATGATCCCAGCGATGAATTGACACACCCCTCCAAAGAAGATGAGCACCGAGATCATTACGTTCGGTGTCATGATGCCGCGGGCGTGTAGGCCGAAGCTGGAGATGAGGAACAAGTCGGTTGCGAAGGATATGAGGCCGAGTGGTGCTGGGTTGGCAAAGCTGCGATGGACCACTGGCAGTGATGGCTGACTGCGGTCGTTGGGATGGCCACCTGCTGTGTGCAACCGTTCAAGATGAGCATGGTCGGCTGCACTTGTTTGGGCGTTCTCAGCTTTCGTAGCATGATCGTAGCCGTTGGTCGAGGAAGACATAATGATGAATGAAGTACCACGACTTGTCGAAGCTTCGAGTAGTAGTTTCGCTTCTTAAAGCCTTTAGATTGAAGCTCGAGGACAATTCTAATGGAAAGAACGACTCTGACGGGAAGCTACACAGCAACTGTCAATTTGATAGCGCAAAGAGATGGCTTTGTAGTCAGCCAGGGGTAAATGCGGAGAAGCCTGGTTTTACCCCAGGCCCCACGATTGAAGCGTTGACCTTCATTTCCCCCATCCAGACTCATACGAGCTTCATCAGCTTCCTGGATGGCGCGTGGAGCTGCTCCGAGGTCGATGGTGGTGAAGTGTGGAGAGCGGAGATGGCGAGCGAGAGGCGTTGGGGTGGCTTTCGATGACGGCCCGAAGGCGGAGAAGGCGGCGAAGAGCGGACTTGACGAGACGCCTTCGCCGCTCCTTGTCCATTCACTGTTCTAGCCGCCACTTCACGGCATCTTGCGCGGGAAACGCGGAGACATGACCTTGCCATCTTCGCGCTGAAATGCCCCGCATAGGTAGTGGGGAGCTTTCAACCCTAGCTTGTGACGTGTGAAGCATGAGCTTTGTATTCTAAAAGTTGCCCGACGCGTTTTTTCCCGCAGCTTCTGCCCTAATATAGCACCTGCACGTCCCGCATCTCTAGGTAAATCTCGTTACTCTCCAATATCATTCTTCTCAACCTCTTCTTTCAAAATGGCACCTCCAAGTTACACGAAATACATCGCCTTCGAGCGCGCTCCTGGCGTCTCGAGAATCGGTCACTACGATGAGTCCAGTGGTAACATCCAGCCACTCTCTTTCGCGTCTGGAACACCCATATCGAACTTGTACGAAGTCATTGAGGTAGGGGAGAAGGGCATCGCACCCGCTGGCGAGCCAATTCCGCTCTCTTCGGTCAAGCTTCTCGCCCCAATCTACGGACGCGACGTGCTGGCTGTGGGTAAGAATTACGCCGAACACGCTCTGGAGTTCCACAGCTCTGGATACGATAGCTCGGACAGGACTGCCCAGCCTACGCATCCCGTAATTTTTACCAAGCGAGCTACTTCCATCATTGCTCACGGAGAGGACATCTACCCCCACCCAAAGTTCACCACTACGTTGGACTACGAGGGCGAGATTGGCGTCATCATTGGAAAGACGGGCTTCCGCGTTTCTGAGGCTGATGCGATGAAACATGTCTGGGGCTATACCATCATCAATGATGTTACTGCTCGCGAGAGGCAACGGGATCACAAGCAATTCTATATTGGCAAATCCCCCGATACTTTCTGCCCTATGGTGAGACTCACTTGGGTTTCCTCTTGATATCCACGTGGATCATGTATTGATAACATTCCAGGGCCCAATAGCTGTTCCCGCGAGCCATCTACCAGAAGTCCTACGTGTGCAAACTCATGTCAATGGTAACAAGCGGCAAGACGCAACTACCAACGATTTGATCTTTTCGATCCCCACTCTCGTCAAGACGCTTTCCGAAGGACAGACACTTCAACCCGGAGATGTCATAGCTACCGGAACAGTAAGATCCACTCCCGGATAAGCTGCTATCTAGAATCTAATCTGTTTCCAATCAAGCCCGCTGGTGTTGGTTTCGGCCAAAAGCCCCCAGTTTTCCTCCAGCCTGGTGACGAAGTCACCATTTCTGTGACTGGATTGGGAACTCTCAGCAACAAAATCGCAGCGAACGCGTCTGTGAACCCCATCATTCAGCAGGTCGCCCAAGTCTCTTCCATCGCATACACCAACGCCGCTAAATCTCTCAATTCAGATGTCGGCCTGACATCAATCAACCACAAGCCTCTCTACTATCACCAAGTTGGCGACGCATCTAAACCTCCAATCGTGTTCGTCCACGGTCTAGGCGGAACGAACGAATACTGGACACCTCTCCTCCACTCCTTGTCCCAAACGCACTCCTGTCACCTCTTCGACCTGGAAGGCCATGGCATCTCTCCCACTCATCCCCTGAGCGCTCCCTCCATCTCTTCCTTCGCCAATGATGTTCGCGGGGTGTTCGATCACGCCAAGATCACAGCTAGTTCCGGTGCTACGCTCATAGCGCACAGCATGGGCTGCCTCGTCGCACTATCCTTCGTTCTCGCGATTCCCGGACTCGTGAAAAAGCTCGTTCTCGTCGGCCCTCCACCTTCGCCTCTCCCGGAAGCTGCATCAAAGGGGTCGTACGCGAGAGCCACACTCGCACGCACCGAAGGCATGACTGCCGTCGTTGATGCTGTCGCTACCGCTGGAACGTCAGAATACACGAAGGCATCGAACCCACTTGGCCTGGCGGCTGTGCGGATGAGTCTGCTTGGGCAGGATCCGGAAGGGTACGCGAAAGCGTGTGCCGCACTCGCTGGTGCTACTGAAGGACTCGACATTGCCAGTGTGGATGCCGAGACTCTAATCATCACGGGTGACGAGGACAAGGTGAGTCCGGCGGAAGTCTGCGGAGCCTACAAGTCGAAATTGGGAAAGAAGTCCGCCGGGGTCAAGGTTCTAGAAAACACAGGGCACTGGCACGCGTTTGAGAGCCCGCAGAAGTTGGCGGAGGTGGTTAGTGGTTTTGTTTGATGTGTTACACGTGGGAGGTATTGAACCGGTAGGAATAGGGCACAGCAACACAATACGCATAGATTCCGCTTTCTCTATTTCGTCTTCTGTCGCCACCCACTAGATACCTATAAATATGTGAAAGGGCTCACTCCGCCTGTCGTCACTTATACAGCACCGAGGCATAAGTTTGGCCACTTCTTAATTACAACTCCTTGAGCTTTTTCGAAACTCCAAAGACGATGTAAAATTCGACGTAGTGCATATTTGACTACCTTTTGACGAAGTTGACACCTGCTAGCTGGAGAACTCCTTACAGTGGTGTCGAGCGAGCAAGTGCGAAGCTGGAGCAGTGATATATCCGTCCTCCTCCTCTACGCCCTCTTACTAGGCATGACAACGCTCGGCTGCAGCGTCATTGTGGGGAATTGTGGGGGTGGGGGAGTTTCGCAGGGATATCTAGAAGCTCGGGGCAAGCTCCATCTTAGCCTTTATTGCCATCCTCGGCAGAGTATGATTTGCAATCCCTCCTTCTTCCATCTTTCCTTCATCTTCATCGATTCTGGATCCTCAATCTTTCAACTGTGCTTGTTGCATCTCTCCAATGATTTCTGACTCAGCTGCCATCGGTCTTTGTGACTGTCTTGCGCGCGTGGGCAAGATAGCATTTAAGGCCGCCCAGCGATGTGTCAGTAAGGTACAGGCACCGGCCAGGAAGGGACAGCGGATTCAGGGGCATTTCTGGAATAGTCAAGAAACTCTCAGGTTGGAAAGGGAGACTGTCTCGTTGTCTCGGTGTTCATCGAGGACTCTGGTGCCATCGTCATAGATCATCACCACTTCATGGCAGCGGAACATGAGGTAGATTTGATCGGCATTTGATCAGGCATGTATTTCCTTATACAGATATGTGGCCTCTATCCTAATCTATGGTATCCAGGCTGCCCGTACTCATCGAGATGCATCCTAACCACAACGTCGTTGTTCTCAAGGTGGATGGAGAAGCCGGCGGCGCGTGGAGTACCGGCAAATCTCGGATCTTCCACATGACATCCACATTGCTTTACCCGGATTTCCAGGACGCTTATACGATAAGTTCTGGACGCAGGCTCCGTTAGGAACAACCAATTATTCTGACAAGTCGCCGGCGGGTCTCTCGGCCTCCGAGAGCCACCACGGACGCTTCCCGGCGCCCCCTGTCGTCAATCATTCAAGATATTTTACCACGGGCCACACTCATGGAGCCTCTGACCCTATTCATCGCTTTGCGGAGGATGTGTGAGTGAGCAGCTTGATCAAGGAGGAAGACAGACAACCTACCATTACAGCACTAGGCCATAAGTCTGCGCACACGGGTACCACTTCTTTGGTATCACTGTTGGAAGCTAGACACCACTGTCAGGAGCGACCCCGTCACTATTAAACCACGCAGCTTAAGAGGGAGCTCAGATTCCGCTGCACTTCAGTTTTATGGAAACCCATGGAGGTACCCCTAGCAGTAGCAAACGAGCGTGCACAGACTTATGGCCTATCACTATATTGAGAAGACAGCCCCAGGGAATGCTGCCCACCCTAAGTTATAGACGCCAATAAGCAAAGCTCGATTACCAACTTGTTAGATATCCCGGCTAGATCAACATTCGAAGTCACGCTCATCCACGAAGAATCTCGACTATCCGAAGCACTCGAAGAATCGGCTAGCCGCCAATTCATAGTAGTCAGCGGCGCAAAGTCGACCGCCAACGTCGTCTACGCAGCTGCAAAAGATGGGAAGAAAGGCTCAATGACGATCCGCAAGTACGGCAGTGGAGCAGCGGCTTTTCCCAATTATGCAAAACGTAATTGGAATTTGGCAACGTCGGCAATTGCTAGGGGATAGCAAGGCAGTAGTGTATGCAATTAGGGATCGACTTTAATACATTACTTCTCACGGGGAAAAAGCGATCGAATACTTTCATCTTCATGTCGCGTTGAGAATTTAGTAGGGGTGGCCTCAACAAACGCAACAAAATCAACGAGTTCGAAATAATTAATCACCGTCAACCATTTCACAAGCTCGATCAAAGATTCAATCTGAAGATCTAAAGATAGAAGTTTCAATGTATTTCCAGAATTTAGATCGAAAATACTTCTTCAGAGATATGTCTAACGGACTCTCCGAGTCACTACTCCCGGCTAGTAGAAGAATTCTACGAGCCTGTCACAATCCCCAATTACCTCCATGCCCGAAAGTCTTCAAATTATCTTCTTTAACAGCTCGGCCATCTCCACCAACAGAGCCGCTAATGGCGCCTCCTAGGCCTGCAGCAGAGAATCACAAAGGTAACAAACGCAGCAGGCCCACCGATAGTAAAGAAGCAAATCATAGCAATCTCAGAAGTAGGATACGTCTCCTCCAACATCTTCCTAATCCTTCGCAGCGTCTGCTCGCTCGGCTTATCCACCTTCGTCCCATTCAACGTAGCATTATGGTAGCCATACGCCCCGCGCCAAACGCCTATTTTGCCAACGCCGCCTACATGCTGCCAGCCACAATACGGGATGTAAACCTCCATCGACACGTCGACAAATCCTGCGTTAGGAAGCGCCTTTCCCCTGAGGTCGTGGTTGTAGCGGTAGTACCAGGGTGTGTTGATGCAGAGGATCGTGTCGGGCACGGCCGGGTCCTTAAAGTAGACGTAGGCCGCGAAAGGGTCGCCGTTGCAATCGTCTAGAGTGCTCTTGACACGACCTCCGGATGTTCCATGGAAGAGTAAAAGGGCTGCAGCGCCCGTGATGGCAACGCCTCTTCCTGCGTGGCCCGCGGAATATCCTACTGCGTGTCCTCCGCCACTTCCGCCGCCGCCGTTGGCTGCTCTTTTGTCAAGATCATTCCATGGCGCGGTTAGGGTGCTGTGAGTGGTGAGTTAAAAATCCTTGGCTCGATTGGTTCTTTGGGATGGCCTACCAATTGATGCTAGCAAGGAACTGGAGGATCACCAGGAGGATGGAGAGGGTATTCATGTCGAAGCAGTGGATGATCTTACTTCGGCTTGAGTATCGAGTGGTAAAGGTGACCCCGAATGGCGATCATGAAGTTTCTGTGTTAGCTTTGACTTCGGTATGATTCTCAAGAATGATCAAGTTTGATATGTCAAATTTCGAAGGGAACGCAGGGCTTAAGTAGATTCTCTTCATGGTCGCCGCCCATGGGCGGACGCATTCATCGCACCCTGGGCCAAGATATCCGACAACATGAATAGCCATATCTACCAAACAGTGAATGGGTTACGGGGCTGAGGCTCTGCCTCTAATCCAATCAAGAAGCCTTCTAGAAGCAGCCAAGAATGAAGATGTTATGCTTCCATGGTACAGACTCTGGCATATGTATTGAGAGAAGTGCCGATGTCAGATGACCTTGAGCGTGACGTGGAGAGGTTCGAACCATGGTTACTGACATCTCTCTCCCGATGTTTTAAGTCTTGGCATATTCAGATTGATATGCTCGATGGCAGGATAGGTTGACCAGTAACACTTGAATCTGTGCCTATTCGCATTATCGAGCATAGTACATCTCATCTGAAGTTGTAATAATCGGCGAGGGCACCTTAAATGGTATAAATCAAGTGTGCTCAGAATGTTGTCCTGTAGCTGTAGTCCGTGGTGCTCATTACTTTGGTTCACTGACGGGACGGCCCGGAGGCTTCCCGGGGAGTACCGGTACACTTAAGTACCGCTTCAGGCTGGCCTAAATCTCGACGACAAACACTAAGCCCGTGCGTTCTGTAGACCGTCTCTTCTATATTGGCTTTCCAAAGCTAAGCCTATCTACTCCGCTTCATAGAAAGAAAAATCTAGACAGATGTAGTCCGCTATTGGGGCCTAGCCACCCACATCTTCCCATTTTATTCGAGATTCGGAGGTTGTGGTCTCCGGTGGACGCTGAGTTCTCTGGCCCTCAGGCTTGGGTTGATCATCGTAACGCCAAAGTTGTGTGGTCAGAGATACAAGAAAGGGAAAGGAGAAATAGATAGAACTATGTGGCAGTTGGTGAGACTTTTAAGGTCATTGGACGTGGATAATTATGCAAGAGATGAGCATGCGAATTCTGCAGACACGAAATCGGACCTACGGCTCTCAGACCTTGAAGGCTGCTAATTGCTACAAGATGAAAAACTTTTATTTCATGTCTCATAATATCGACCCTCCATCTACGAGCTCAAATCTGCTGTAAAGTCCTCTAAAAGCGGCACGGTTGCCTTCAAACTCAAGCTCCCCTTACTCGCGTCAAACTGCACTGTCGCATTCTCACCCGCGGGCTTGCTCGCACCCAACACCAACACCCCACTGATCACGGAAGTAGTGTTATACCCGTAGCTTCCCGTCATTTTGAACAGCCCGTTGTCGTAACTGAAGCTGATATGCGACGTATTCGGCTGCTCGATCGCATCGCCCTCATCTAGATACAGTTCTCCCACCGCCTGGCTAGTGGCATTCGGCGCAATCCACAGCACGAAATCCTTCTTTCTAAGCTCCGTCGTCGTATTCGCGCTGCTAGCTCGAAGTGGGATTATCGAGCCGCCTTTCACGTGCAGCGGGATGGAGGTGAAGGGCACGTCGTCGAGCGTCACCCATGACCCATTGCCCTGGACTTTCTCGCCGGTCCAGAAGTCGTAGAAGAGGTCGTTCGGGAGATAAATATCCACGTTGGTGGCGTTCTCCTCGGTTACGGGTGAGATGAGGATGGAATCTCCGTAGAAGTACTGGTACTGAATAGGGAAGGTGTTGGCGTCTTCTGGGTACATGAAGAATAGCGGGTTTAAGAGTGGGTCGCCAGAGGTAGACTGGCGGTAGAAGGCTGTGTAAATGTAGTCGAGGAGGCGGTAGCGGACATCGATGGCGATCTTGGCTGCTTCCGCGACTTCAGGCCAGCGGTAGTACTCCTGCGGGATGGAGGTGTCGCCGTCGTGGTTCCGGTAGAAGGGGCTGAATGCAGCAAGCATAGCCCATCGTGAGCAGAGAGTGGTGGTAGTGTTCCCACCGAATCCGCAAGTATCGGCACCCACCATTGGTATCTGGAAAAGCGCAGCAAATTCGAGGATCTCGGCTATTAAGTAGCGATAGTGGTCCCAATCACTTAGGTTGTCTCCTAACCAGTGACCGACCTTAGTGCCAGCACCAGCAAACTGGAATAGTCAGCATGATTGTGCATCGAGCAAGGCATGCAGGGCGTAGAAAAAGAAAAAGCAAAATCATCAAGCACGCTGCACCATGTGTAAGGCCGTCTGCCACTGTTTAGAGTGCTTCAATGACTTTTCAAAAAGCCCGAGGCGAAGAGTTTCCATGACGTAGAAGTGTCTGAAAATGCATTGAAGCACACCAAGCAGTGGCATACATTCGTACACACCCAACTCGGCTTGTTCGGGATAAGAGGGCTAACTTTTCTATGCCTCGCGTGCATGGAAGCTGTACATACCGTGCTTCGCGTGATAATCATCGGCCGACGCTCCGGGCGGCGAGCTAACATAGCTTCTCTGCTGGCCGAGGACATCAATGTCCCGTATAAGTTATGAGTGTCGTACTGGACAGTTCCGCCGTAGTTGACCAGATTAGTGAAAAGTGTGAGATTGCTTATAGAACCTGCTGCATTCTTGATCGTGTAGGGTGGATCTGTGAGATTCCTACCTGGCAGTCCCAGCATGTCCCCGTCCGATCGGCGGTCGGTCGATCGTCTAGAGATAGATCCCGAAGGTTGGAAGTCGGCTGGGAATCCAGGAATCACTCTACCAGAGCTGTTTCGGGCTGGTGGAGGCTTGGGAGGGTCTCCAGCTTCAACGGCGTATCCTTCTGGATCCGAACAAGGATACGGGCAGAAGTTTGATGCTTCGTTCATATCGATCCACAGCGCATCAATATCGACACCGGTCTCTGTGCTGAAGAATGATAAGAACTCATTATTCCAGTAATTTTGGGTATTAGGGTGGAACCAATCCGGGAATGCTGCAACCCCAGGCCATACCACTCCCTTGTAGATTGATCCATTGTCTGTTTTAAGGAAGATGTCTAGGTCCGCTCCATTGTTGAAGCCGGGGTAATCTTGGTACGCTACAGCAGGGTCAACCATGACGATATAGTGTTGCTGGTGATCATGAAGATATGTTACAAGTTCCCGAACCTTCTCGAGAGGAAACCGTTCCGGGTCTACGGTGAAGACTTTACGAAGTTGCATGTAATCAATATCCGTCCACATCGTCTCAAGTGGTATTTCGGCTAGCGAGTAATTGGCAACAACTTCTGCCACCTCGTAAACATCTCGGTAGCCGTACTTGCATTGATGAAAACCGAAACCCCAGTATGGCATCATCACTGGACGGCCAACGACCTCGGAGTACTGCTTGCTGACGTCCTTTGGCGATGGACCAGCTAGGAAGTAAAGGTCAATCACTCCACCAAGGGTGTTGTATTCTAGGTATTGGCCTTCGGTGTCGTTAATTTTGATATCCATGCCGTTCGAATTAAGCAAAAAGACGCCATGAGTACCAGAGCCACCCCGGTGGTCGAAATACACGGGGTGATTTCCGTACAGATTGGTTCCATTGGGCGTTCCGTAAGCATCACGGCTCCACAAGGTCCGGGTGTAGTTCGTGGTGCTAAGTTGGAAATAATCGGTGTGCTCCCCGAGGCCATATAAGTGAGGCGAACTAGGTAGCTTTGTGCGAAGACGTAGATACTGAGACTCGAAGACAATTGGGGTACCCGAGGTGTCAAATAGCGTCTCATTGGTGGAGTTTCGAACGACGGAAAACGAGAAAGGCTTCTCCGTAAACGAGAACTGCAAATCGGAATCCGCAGCGTTGCACGCGGCGCTAGAAGGACGTGGAAAGACGGTCTCGGGAACTTGATACACATTGCTTGCCACATCGTATATCTTCACGTGGAGTCGGGTTTCTGGGAGAAGTCAGCTTCGGGTTGTGAATCCAATTACAGTACTGGGTCATGAGTTTGGGCACACGAAAATACCACTACACGGGTCCCACTCCTGCTCGGTCGACACCACCGTGAAGGAGCAGTCCAGCTAGCATGCAGCCGGCCAGGCAAAAGGTAGTCTAATTTTCACTGCATCGACTTTTACATGGTGTTTGTAGTTTTGAAATTCTTGTACGTGTACCCCACGCAGTAGCAAGAAAGAGTGCCCAAACCTATGTCCCAGGACTGTAGAATCACAAACCTGTCTGTAGCTCAACTTCAAGCTTCAAGTGGGTCAAGTCGTCGCTATAGGTGTTGCAAGCCGGCCCCGCAAGGGTCAAATCAGCAGTAATAAGACTGCCTTTGTCGACAACATTAGATGCTGCATATCCTGGGCAATTCTCCAGGGCAAGTTGTCGTGGCCGAAGGACGTTTGAAGAGGCTCTCACCGCCAACGCAAGAAATGAAAAATGCCGCCTGAATATCATCGTTGGGTTTCGGATCAGCTTTGACTGATGTAATTGATGAAACCAGAATGTAGGAAAATAGGGATTTCCCCGTTATATAACATCTTACGTGTTCCTGCATCTCTCCGCAGCTCTCCGCAGTCTATTCGCTAGCCGATCTTATGACGAAACAACTCCACTCGGTAGGGTTCCTGGGGTATTAAGAGTCTTGGAAGTCGACTATTTCGCGTGCCGTCCACCATAGGCGGGTGTGGCAGCCGTGCCTGGTTACATCGTCGTAGCATTTCCCCGCATCTCACCCGGTCCGTCGCCGGTATGTGGTAAAATCAGCTTTCGATCCGAGAATCCTTCCGAGCGACGAGGCTGGGAGATGGTATGCTGAGCATAGATGGAGCTTAGAGGATGGTGATGTGGTAAGGGAGGTCATCAATTTGAAACTCAACCTTAAAAGAGAGTTCCAAGGTTGCTCTGATCCTAGCTTGGTGGCGCCATAACTAGCATATTCTAGGTAGTGTGGTGTTGAGAAGCGGGGATTAGGCGGGTTCTGCAGTCACCGATTTTGCAGGGCTTCTCTCTCATGCATCTTCTTCGTCTCCTAAAACCTTATGAACCCAGCTGTGCCAGTACTATTTCTGTTTCTTGCATCCACGAAAAGTCAGTGAGTTGAGTTCGATGCCACAAAGAAAAGGGCGCACGTGAAAGGGCGGCAGTTGCCAGTCCATCGTCACATTTTATCCATTTCAATTCCCTCAGCATCTTCTCTATTAAGTGGTCAAACTGCTCTCTATGTCGTCCAATCGCCTCACCTCTCAAGTCCACAAGACTCTCTGCAACGTCACGTGATTATCAAAAGCTGCTGCGGTCAACTTCAACTTCACGTCTCCTCTTCTCAACGTCCCTTGCGAAACCCCCACCACTTCTCCACCCCGTCATCACAAACTTGGCGCGCAGAATGCGAGGCCCACAGCAATGGCAAATCCTCTGCCCCCACCTCCGTCAACACCACATCCTCACCGACCCCGACGACGCATCCGAAATTGACCTCCTCTACGTCTTCCGCCACCGGACCCATCCTACTTCAACGTCTGGGACTTCCTCGCCAAACCCGTACCTTCCCCAACCCCATCCCCCTCTTCCAGTCCCCCATCCAAGCCTCCACCCCACCCCCTCACCCCCTCTCCCCCCTCGAAGCCCTCCCCAACGAGCTCCTCGACCTCATAGTCTCCCACCTCCCCTCCCCATCACGCCCTTCTTCGGAAGCTAAATCCGATATCCTCGGCCTCGGCCTCGGCTCCCCCCACCTCTGGCCCACAGTCCTCCACGACGTGCACGCCTCCTACGCCGCCTCCACCGCGCCCTGTGCCGGCGCCATGCTGGCCTGCCTAGGCTCCCACACTCCCTTCGTTCCGCCCCTGTTCAGAGAAGCCGGCTTCAGGATTCCGGGCGCGCATGGCCCCGGGTGGAAAATCATTCCTCGTCTGCAGTGGAGATGGAGAGCGTTTCGCGACTTCACCGATCCGCCGACCGCGGCGGGGGAGGAAGTAGAGTGGCTGGCTGCGCTTTCGACGCACGTCCGCGCGAGTGAGAGGATTGGTGGGGAGGCGGGCGGCTTCGCGGTGTCGAAAGCGGAGTATGAGGGGCTGGAGCGGGATCTGCGGTGTAGGAGCGAAGAAGTGTCCCCGCAGGACCGTGTATGGCTGCTGCGGGATTTGAAGACGTGCGAGTTTGTGAGGTCGGAGGGTTTGGAGATTCCGGTGCAGTATACGGAGGGGGGGAGACAGGAGACGAGCTTTAGCGAGGTGCTGCTGAAGCGGATTTGCTGGGGGAATCCGCGAGCTACGAGGATGGAGGAGTTAGGGTTGCAAAAAGGGGTGTGGGCGGGGCATCACTTTGAAGTTGTGACGGAGGAGAGGCATAGGGCTGAGTACGGGACGCGGACGAGTTGGGAGGATGTTACTGAGGAGGTTGTGGGGGAGGTTGGGAAGCTGAGGCGTGAGCTCAATTTGAAGAAGTGTCTCGCAGAGTTGACGGGATTGGGTTATTAGGAGTTCGTGGAATTGGTATGCTACAGCATTAAGGATCTAGTCCTGCGATATAAAGTTTAGGCACTCTCTCTTGCCACTGCTTGGGGTACCCCTATGGATCTTCAAAGTCTGAAAGACAATGTCAATAACGATGCAGTAAAGATTCGGCGGCCTTTTAACTAGCTGCCTATATGCTAGCTGGGCTACTCCTCACGGTGGTATCGAGTAGTCAAGAGTGGAACCTGTGCAGTGGTATATCCGGGTGTCCAATCTTATGACGTAGTCACAACCAATGGCAGAATGGTGTGTACAGACGGGGGTTGAAGCAATTTATTGGAGCTATAGTCTTGATCTGGTATCATGTTTTTGTTGGAGCCCCACGGACACACTCTTCGAAGAGCATCATTGCTCCATTATGCATTTATTCGTCACCCGGGGTATCCCATTCAGACCGCAAGCATCAATCCAGCCACAGCACCTCCAGCGACCGCTCCTAGAACGTGTGGATACACCATACCTGCCGCACCAGTGCCAGCCGGGGCCGTCGCTGACTGCGTAGTAGAGCCGCTCGTAAGGGTGGTGGGTACGGTGGGAGTAGGGGTCTTAGACAGGACCGTCGAGTTCGAGATGGACAAGATCGAGAAGGTCTCGATGACCGAGGGCGTGGAAGTAATCTCAGAAACCACACTGACCGTAGTTGCAGCTGCAGGGACTGTTGTTGTGACGGTGGTCCAATCGCTCCAGCCTGGACGTGTCAGCAAAGAACACAAGAGACGTGTTGGTAGCTCTTACTCTGAAGTCCGCTCCAAGAATGTCCGCTCCAAGAGTGTCCGCTCCAAGTGTTGTGAATGCTCCAGCTGTGCCATTCCGAACCAGTGGGTGACTCGGTGAGGCAGCCGAATCCGCCTTCACGCGGCCAATCCGTGCAAGCGGTAGGTAAGCTGGTGGGGTAGGAGCTCGGCCAGGTGGTTTGGATGGTGAAGATGCCCTCGGTGGTCTGGTCCCAGTGAAAAAAGCTGTTTGTGGTAGCTTCGTCAGCCAGTGCGAAGGCGGTGAGGCCGAAAAGGAAGGCGATAGCTTTGAGAGCCATGATAGCCGTTGGTGAGCTTGAAGCTGGTGTTGTTGACGAGAGTTAGTGCGAGCAGACTGTCAGTTAAAATATTGCAACGGCTGGAGGAGCCGGGCTGGACGCGTGGCAAGAGCTGTGGTAGGTCGAAGGCAGGTGGTAGCAAGCAGCGAGGTACGAATGCCTAGGTGAGGTGGACAAGGTAGGACGGTAACCAGATGAGGCAGGAAGACATCTTGAGTTCTGTTTAGACAGCAATGTCGACACTGTTAGTTCCGCCATCGAGAGAATGCCCAATTCATGGACCAGAGATCCAACGCTGCCCGCACTGTTGCCAGCCCTTCCAGGACTGATAGTGGGGGAGCCGGCGAGGCTGAGAGTTGAGAGCTGAGAAGATCTGCGCTACTATGCTTGGCGACGCTAAACCTCAAACGTTTAGATAGGGGTCTATCATGGAGAGAATCCATTCTGCAACTCCACACCCGTCCAACGTACACCCATCATTTCGTTAGATCAACCCCGAAGGACCTCGACCTCATGGAGCGCCAAGAATACGGTCGTCACGCGGTGGAATTGCTTATACGCACGACTTGAAAGAAAGAGCAGAGCAATGCGAAGAAAAACCCCTGTTTCAACACCCCAATCTGCACGGTGCCCGACCCCCTCAGCTCACGTGATGATGCGCCGCTGTGGCTGAGGTCGGCTCAGGCCCGGCTCAGCTTCGGCTCACCAGTCGTGGGTGTATGAGACTCTGGTTGAATGCAGGAGGGAATACCGGACGAAGTTCTACCTATGAAAGGCGCTCGCGATGAGTAGATATTCAAGGCACGATAGGACAGAATGAAGAGAAATCGGCAGTTGTCAAGTTCCGGCAGACGAGGCGAGTGGCAAAGGTTTCCAAAGATGTATCGGGCGTAACTCCAGCACCAACCTCCGAGCTTGGATAGCTCAAACAAGATATACCTACTTGCCTGTTGCTGTCTATCTTGATGCATGGATGCTGGGCAGGGGAGAGAGAGCTGGGCGCGCGGGACAGGGACCAGCCAGCCACCCGTTCTCAGAAATACTCAGGTCGTGCCCGGAATCTGAAACCTCGCGTCCTCTCTCTTTTTATTACGACGTGGCAGCTGAAGGCAAAGTAGGCTGAGTTTTCCATTCAGACGATAGCGATGATTGCCAAGATGACACGGTTTGAGCGGCTTTCTCAGCCCAAGCCTGGGCGCAAGGCTCACTCGGACTCAGCCTTGCTGCTGCCAGGGCTGCTCTGCATCTGGCGCTCGGCACTGATAAATGGTCGAAATTGCGAGGTCATCCTAGCCAGCACACTACACGCTGTGTTAGCTTATAGATGTGTTCCATACGCGGCACTTGTAGGTTGCTCTCCGGACTGTCCCCTTGATTAATGCGTTTGATCGACCCTGTGGCGTGCGTGGCACTCAACAGGTCCTTCGGCAAATCCTTGGCTCTTTCAATTTCCCGCTAGTCTGTGCTTTTTTCTGGACCGCAGGGCTGTGCATTGTAGGCTGAGCACATTTCCGGAGCTATTACATTCCCCGCTTCTACCATTCTCTCAATAGCAATCTTTCATACAAGTACCTTTTGAAAATTATCAATTCTATCATTCCTACTTTAAAACACTCGAGAATAACCTTACTTGTATCACCTGACTATCCATTTCGGCCGTATTTCCTGCTCAAGTGCAAAACGAAAACCCGCCTGACTCCACGGACGCGGGGCAACATCGACAATCGACCAGGAACTCTTCCCGTATAATAGTTCTCCACACCCAACGCTGCCGTCATCGTCATATGTGAAGTGGCGATACCGCCATAAAGAACTTGCGATCACGGCTTTCGCTATGCTCAAGCGGAAAGCACCCTCTAGCATTGATGAGGCCGAGAAGAGGCCGGAGAGAACGCCATGTATACCAGAGCCTGGATACAGTCCACCTAGTATCCGTTTCAATGCGCTTTGCTCAGTCTGTGAAGCAACGTTCTCCCGTGTAAGGGAGGATCAAAATACATTTTCCTGCTTTCATAGCATCACAGAGCTCATTACGTCGGCTGCGGAAGGATGTCATTTCTGCAATCTAATAACAAATAGCATGAGTTCGAGCAAGGGCTCTCCACAACTCATGAAAGAAAATCTTCTGACAGAGAATGATCCTCAAACAACGGCGACATTTAAAGGTCTTAAGGCGGAAACACGTTATGTTGCAGATATCGGAATCTCCTTTTTACTACGCCGTAGTGACGCGCTTGATCACGATGTCCTCGCTGAAGTAGATTTACTCTTTGGAGATGGCGCAGGTAAAGCCCGTCCAGCTCTCTTCTTCAATACATTGTCTAAAATGACTCTTCAGATGATACCGGAGAATTCACGCTGAGCGGGGATTCCCAAAGCGAAAACAGCTGGGATCAAGTCCTCCAATGGAACAGGCAATGCTTGGAAAAGCATCTCGCCTGCAAACCCAGCTCAACCGCTATTCCGAAGAGTGACTACCCAGCTCGATTGATCTGCGTGGGCGACAACCCCAGCACCATTGTCAAGCTTTTTGAAACATCGAAAATAGAAGTATCGAAGAGTTATACAACACTTAGTCATTGCTGGGGCAGTCACATCCCTCTCAGGCTCCTCACCGATAACTATTCCTCGCTTCTTGAGGGATTCAAACTGATTGATCTCCCTGAGACATTCCGAGATGCAATTACAACGACAAGGAAGCTGGGTATCCCTTTTCTCTGGATTGATTCTCTATGCATAATTCAAGACTCTGCCGTGGATTGGTCCACAGAGTCGAGCAAAATGGGCCAGATTTACAAAAATTCCTATCTAAATCTGGCGGCAGCGGCGGCTAAGGATTCGACTGAGGGTTTATTCTTTCCACGATCTCCTTTGCAGTTTGTACCATGTCACGTTAGAGCTGGTCGGACTGGAAATATGAGATCTGTGAGATCAACTTACAGTCCAGAAGGAGCGGGCTCGGACGAAATGATTCTCTACTCCAGAGCGTGGGTATTCCAGGAATGGCTATTAGCGCCAAGGACGCTGATTTTTGGAAAGAATGAGCTTTTGTGGGAATGCGGTGAACTCAACGCCAGTGAAGTATACCCTAAGGGGTATCCAACTCTTTTGGATTCAGTGAAGGGGGTGGAAAGACTACGCCTTGCCACACTCCGCAATGAATGGCAAAATTTATACTGCAAAGATTCCATCGAGCGTTGGGAGTTATGGTGTCGGGTAACCAACGATTACTCGAAGCGAAAATTGACTAGATTTTCCGATAAGCTCGTGGCGCTGTCAGGTTTTGCGGCTGAAATGGCAAAGAGCTGGGAAGGAATGGACTATTTGGCGGGTATTTGGTCATATCGGCTTCGTCGTGGCCTGCTCTGGCGTTGTGTTGAACCCGTTAAACTTTGTCATCGGCTAGTATGTACGACACCGTCTTGGTCATGGGCATCTACAGATAGGCCTGTCTTCACAGACTTCGAACACCACTTCATCGATGGGTTAGTCGAGATTCTAGATGCTAGCATCCAGCATTCGGTACCGTCACATCGATATGGCGCAGTAATCGATGGCCACATCAAGATTAAAGGACCGATGCTGAAAGCGACGATAGTCGAGCGTAAAGACGACGGAGAATGGAACATTCTTCTCTCAGACGATTCGAAAGAGAACACGGATGGCTCGGAACACGATGGCTCGGAACACGATAGCTCGGAACACGATGGCTCGGAATACGATGGCTCGGAATACGATGACTCGGAAGATCTGGACTCAAGTTTGCCATTTACGATTCGAGCGACAATCTGCTGGGACGATCCGACATTTCAAAAGATCATTAAAGCTGCATCCGTATATCTGGTGCCATTCGAAATATCTCTGCTGCCGGATGACGCCGGCTTGGATTTGCAAGGCCTGATACTGCTCCCTACGCTCACAAATGCTGGACAATTCCGTCGCCTAGGATGGTTCAGAGTTGAAGATAAGTGGCGCGGTAACAAGCATATGAAGAGATCGATTTCACTTAGCTACGATGATAATTCACCTCGGGATTCTGTGCCAGAGGAAGTGGAAAGTTTGGACGGCTGTTTGCAGGTGCCCCCAGACAAAATCGATGGTCTTTGGCCGTATCGCACAGCTCTTGAGCTTAAAGCGATATGGATAGATATAAACGCGAGAGAAGCTGCAGAAAGGGAAGCAGCTTCGTATGACGTGCGGACACGAAAGATACAAGAATTCATGGTTGATTTGACGAAGGCAGCGAACCGAGATGGTACTATTTCACAAAGCGGTCAATCCAAGAAGGATGATTTCTATTGTAACGGAATGATGAATACAACTCTCTTGGAACGTTACGGTGACGACATGAGGCATATTTATCCGAAGATCCATTCTTTCCTGGTTATGACGTTTATACGTTTCAATTCGGATAGAGAAGAAGGTAAGCTATGCGAAGAGTTGTATGAGGAACACCATGGAAATGGGTATTTCACCTTTCGAATTGTATAACATACCAGACACCTTTGTCTATTTTTTAGTCTTCCTGTCACGGATCGGAGGCACGGACACGGGACGTGAAAAAGGAACGGATGAGCACGTGGAACGTAGATAGTTACCCTCGTGAAGAGCCCTAAGCTCACCACTCACTTACCTTTGAATACAATTCTATTCAATAGCCAGTCGCCTTCGGACGTGCACGTGCTGGATGCACGCATACGTCCCTTACACTTACACTTTTCCGATTAGACTTGCGATCTGGACGTGGCTCCTCTCCATCCTTCTTTTTGGTCAAAGCATGTTCTGTTCCTTCATCACTCTTTAGATTTAAGAGTTTATGCTGGAGGTTGGCTTTCTTTATAGGCGGTGCGTATTCTATTCTTCGCTCTGCGCTTTTGGCAAGGCGCGTACTTGGAGTTATAATAGTATTCCACTCGTAAATAAGGGATACACTAATTACGTTATTAAAGAATGGTCTCTATAGACAGTTTCGCTATATAATAAGCCAAAGTGTAGGGCCAACAATGCTCTAGGGAAGCTAGAGAAATGAAAGCTTCTGGACGCAAGAGACTAGGGCGTGACCCTAATAATCAGAAGGCAATTCTATTTGGCGCTGGAATTATTCTACTACTTTTAATAAAGGCGTGAATGGTATTTATTTAATGAGCTGCTGGTGACGTGGCTGATAGTGCATGTTGCCCTAGTTCAGCCTCGTCTGGAATGTCTAATGAGAGCCTGCGACCTCCATGGTGCCTAGAATGCGCCGTGTCTTTGCTTGGCGCTCTGTAATCTACATTAGGGCGGGGTTATCCATATTTTGGACTAAAAGGCGCCTTGTTCGGCCTTGTAGGCGTTTAAGTGTCTTTCTCGACTGCGACCATTATATAGCATATCACTAAGACTAAGCTTTGTATAACTATATTGCCGTATAGCCTTATAGGTAGATTTGAAGATGTACTAAATAATATACACCCTAAAATTTAACTAGGCCTTCTAGCTTCTAAGTACCCTTTGCCTGTCAGGCCTTAGACGGCCTTTTCCTTTGTTCTAGAAGCGACATTCACTTGTAGTCACAAGACAGGCACGTGGAGCACGTGATCACCATGTGGGACGCTAGCGGCTAGCGCCAGCAGCGCCAACAACCTACATCAGGCCGCTCCGCTCTTGCCTCTCTTCTCTCTTGGTATCACAACTTTTATAGCATAGCAATGCAACCTTTTCTAATTGCTGTTTGCCTATCGAGTCCTCACATTGCCTTACTAATAAATATTTGCTGCTAGCTAAGCAGGAGCAGCTTAGTTCTTTAAACGGAAAAAGGAGATTGCATGTCCATTTTAATAATATAATTGTCTTGAGACAGGTCAATCCTAAGAGCGTGACTGTCTGGGAAAAATCCTCATCTTAAGGTGCTACCGTCTTCAGACTGTGGCTGTCTTAAGACTATGGCTATCTTAAGACCATGAAGCCCTAAGAACATGTCGTCTTAAGGACGTGCCGTCTTAGGAACGTAATTGTCAGCAGAATGGCCTGTAGCATATTAGACAGTAAGTTTACTCAAGACTTGGGGCCTGGAAACTGGAACCTAGCAGGTCCACGGGCTTTCCGTGGCAAGGTGAGGATCCCTGTTTCTGTCAAATACAGGCCCCACCCCTTAGTCTCAGCTCGGATCCGCACACCCCAGCTCAGCCACAGCTCAGGCTGGAGCAGGAGCAGCTTAGTTCCCTGAACGGGACAGGAAAGTGCTTATGTGCGGATTGGGGTGTGGAACTCGCTGTTGCAATACAGCGATCAACAGCTCTTCCAGTTCAGAAGCCCGCAAAGGTCACATGTACACCTCTTAGCCGATATGCCGACAGGAAATTCTCCAAGGCCAACCGCGTGATGGTTCCTATTCAACACGAAATGAGAATCGTAGAAACCCCTCTCGGATACTCCGCATTCGACTTCTCTGGACGATCCGAGCTAAAGCAGACTAATCGGTTTCGTATGTGTTGTCATGTTTCTACATTACCTTGCCGGAAGTCTGGGTACGTTCTAGTGAGACACCCAGAAGAGTACTGTACTAGGACACCAAATTTGGGCTTTTCGTCTTTCCATCTCTTCCAGATTAATGATGATGTGTTGAAGCACCACAATCAACGGCCAGTAAGTCGATGTAAGAGCATGAAACCTCCCTAATTCAAGCTCTCAAGGCCTTTTCATCTCATCTTAACTTTATGATGCACGGGAGTACCTCAAGCGGTGGCAAGCGAGTGGTGGTGAACACCTCTTGGCCGGACTCCATACTCGAAAAACTTTCTAGCTCATCGAGCTTCGTCTATAATCAACGTCGCGTATCGAGATCCTCATGTGAAAACTAATGGCAAGTCTAGAGTCCAGAACAGCAGGCCACCACATCGTATGGCAACCCTTTCAACATTTCTTCAAATTTGAAGTGAACTCCTATTGGTTGCAACAAAATACCCAGCTCGTCATGGCCATTGTGGTGTTCCGGTCAGACGAACTTATACAGCCTTGTCCACGATACAGCTGCTTCCAGGCCACACACCAACCAAACCTCACCAGGAATGAAGAACGAACGAGCGATAGAAACAGGCGTCATCTTGGTTGCAGCACTACACCATCAGACTAGTCGCTCGTTACACCTCCCTCTTCCAATCTGCAGCTCTATCTCGCGTAAAGGCCGAATATGAGAGCTGCAACTCGACCCATTTGAACAACGCAGATGTGAGCCCTGCTACATGAACTTGATCACACGGACCATGGGCAGCACGACTCATGCCCCAGCTGAAAGCGCCCTGGGTATAAAAGACCGCTCATGTTAAGCTCGCTAATACATGTTCAGAAACCTCCTAACTGACCAACATACTCTCTCGTCTTACCCTCTATAGCAAGCAAGCATCATGAAATTCCACAACATCACCACCCTCTTGGCAACTGCCTTCCTCCTCACAGCTAAAGGCGTTCACGCCGACTGCGTCTCTGACTGCCAAGCCTGCACAGCGTGAGTTCTGCACCATCTCAATTTCGTAGACAAAGAACTAATGATACGGATATAGGACATGTCTCTTAGAAGGTGCGCCCAATAATATATCGCCAAACTTCAGCAAGACGAGAACTAACTAATCATTCGAGCGAGTAGGCTAGTGGAGCTGCCGCACAGGATCTCACTTACTGCGTCGGGAATTGCGTTGTCAAGTTCTTGTAAAGAAGAGACGATACGCCGTAGTACTATTACTAGGTCACTAGCTTAGGCACATGGATATGCCACTGCTCTGGCTTTACTCTTGCTCTCTCAACACCACTGTAGGGGGTGCCCCGAGTAACATGTTTTCAGTCAGTCAAAAGGTAGTTTAATCTCCACTGCGTGAACCTCTACATCGTATTTGGAGTTTCCAGGCCTGTTGGGGTACCCCAGCCAGTCGCAAGGAGTGCCCAAACATCTGTCTTCGTACTGTTCAGGACACTCTGATACAGTGGAAAAGAAGTCTGCAAGACAACAACCAACGCCTTTTTTATTTCATTACTCACATGATGCGTTAATCTTCGCAGCCACGCATCAGATATTACCCAAGTACTCTTCAAACACCACAGCACTAAACTACGCAAACCGCCTGCCCCTCAACCCGCCACCCACATACGTCCTCTTCTCCGCTTCCTCCCTCTCGCCCAGAATCTCTCGCTTTGAATACGCCGTTTTCTCACTCGTCAAGCAGCCATTCTCCACACAATCCGCAATCACCGCACTCGCCAACCGCCCCTCGAAATACGCCCCCTGCAAGTACCCAAAATACTTCCTACTCGTCCCCTCACCCGCAAAAAAGAGCCTCTGGCTTTCCGGACTTGGCATATCCGGGTCCGGCAGCGGCGCGCGGATCGCGTTCTGCTGCTCCACCGTCGCGCCGGCGCCCCAGTTGGTGAAGGTACCGCGGAAGAGCGGGTCGAGCGTCCAGCGCGGGATGACGATTTCGATGGGCGAGGGGATACCAGAGCCATACATGGTGCGCAGGACAGTCATGCAGGCGTCGACGACTTCTTGCTCGGTTTGCAGCTCGGCTTGGTAGGCTTGCGCCGAGGTGAGGGTGACCATGAAGAGGTGGGAGCCCGGGTAGAACTTTGCGACGTCGAGGGATTGCCAGACGGCGTAGTAGCCGCGTTCGTCGGGGTCGGCGTAGACGGAGAACTGGGGGTGAGGTTAGTTACTCTCTAAGTTACGCTTGTTTGATGCTGTGAGAGGTTTCCCCGTGCTCAACAATTTGGGAGGGAGTAAGTGGCGGTATAGTATGGGTTACATACCTCGGTGTCGTTCCAGAACTTGGAGGGAAATTGCATGAAGATCTTCATGTACGTGGCCATGTGGAAGTTCGCAATGGCATCCTTCTTCCAATCAGGCAGCTCAGGATCGAACGTCACATCCGTATTCTGCAGCACGCCAATGCTGAACGTGCACAGCGCGAACTCTGCTTCGATGGTCGTATTGTCCGCTGTTGTGACAATTACACCGTCTTTGCTGTACGCAATGGTGGTCACCGTCTCGTTGTACAGGATCTTCTCCGCGAAATTGGGGATCTCGTCCGCTTGGCCTTGTGCAATCATGCGGAACCCACGCTTGTCGAAGACGAAGTTATTGGAGTCGTTCCCGAAGCCGTCGAAGTTGTAGATGAAGCTGTTGATGTTCTGGATGAAGCTCGACTGCACCGGCGGCTCGGCGTACTCCCAATCAAACTCGAAGTACTCCGCCGTCTTCTCGTACGGCGTCTGTGCGACCCATCCCGCCAAGTTCAAGCCGGCACGGAAGTTGAGATCGGCCTGCCCGCGCTCCTGGCGAAGGTCTGAGATCTTGGTCGCGTTGACCAGGGCGTGTTCTTCATATCGGGCGAAGGCCTCTTCCAGCTTGCCGTCGAAGTCGTAGCCGCGGCCGTCAAAGTAGTCGATGTTTTCCCAATCGCTGTACACATTGGTCACATTGTACTTTTGTGCGAGGGCCCAGATAGGGTTCGTCCCGAGGCCTTGGACCCAATTGGCACCGATCTCGATGGGGTAGCCACCGATAGATGCAGGCTTCAGTCGGCCGCCTACCTCGGGGAGGGCCTCGACGATGATGAAGTCGGTGATATTGCGTTCGAGGGCAAGAGCTTTGGCGGCAGTCACGCCGGTAAGGCCAGCACCGAGGATGACGACTTTGGTCTTGTGGACTGCGGCTTCCGCTAGAACGGCGGCGGAGAGGAGTGATGCAAGGAGAGGAAACGAAGACCGCATGATTGACGAGTCGAGACAAGTAGAGACCAGAAAAGAATCCGGACGTCGCTCTCACCATGGACGCTCTATGGCTTTTGTACTTACCTGCCTGCTCACAAGATCCACGACTCTGTGGCCACTCGAATAAACCATCGTAATATAGCAATGAGCAAGCCGCTGCATTTGTCCGATGTTAGACCCAGACTCTCTGTGTTCTCACCTATCAAATACCTCTGCTTGTGTACACTTGCCTAACACCGCTTGAGGTTCTCCGATACGTCTTCAAAAATTTGTAAAACTTTGACTTTGACAAAACGAATAGCCCTTCGGGCCACCTCAGACGATGTCAGACCGCCTGTCACTTTATGTTCAACAAAGCCTAGCTGGGCATGTGCTGTTTCTCCGCATCTTGCATTACGGTGGACACGGTATAGCTGATCTTGGAGAGTGAATCGATCGGCTTCGGATTGCGGAGAAGCGCCCAAAGCGTAGCTCGATGCGGTATATTGAGACGACGGCAAATTTTTACTGAGAGCTGTTGTGGGAACTCTGCACGAGCAACCGAATGAACTGTTGATGTGGGTTTGGGGCATCGACATCAGCGAGAACTAGTGAGTTGGAAATCTCCTTGAATTACACAACGCTTTTCTGGGGTACAAAAATCATATGGAAAACTGAGGAAACTATAACTTATCAGATTCTTGACTTTCAATGTATTGACAGCCGTTCGAAGTGACTGTATCTATTATGAAACCCACGTGACAACTGCGAGATTTCGAACTATGCGTCCAGTACTAGGTAGGTCATAAGTCTGGGCACACGAATCTATCACTGCTTGGCTCCAGGCTTGCTCACTCGACACCACTGTGAGGAGCGGACCAGGTAGTAAGCAGCCAGTCAGTCAAGAGGCAGTCCGATTTGGATTCCTTGAAACTTGACATCATACCTACAAAGGTAGGTTCTTAAATTTCCGTAGGGTATCCCAAACAGTGGTAAATGCGTGTGCACAGACTTATGACCTGTCACTATATATCGAACTATGCGTCAATTATAGTAAAGTCTAGTGGTAAGTTCTCTTAGACAATGGAGATATAGCTTTACACACCGTACATATGCCCTTTTCTTGTATCAACCTCTCTTCATACCGTTCAAACAAACCTACACCCTAACAACCAACTTCTCCCCACTAACCCCTTTCCTAATGCCCTCCAGCCCCTTTTCCACAGCCTCCCATCCCTCTCCTACTATCTTCACCGGCAGCGGGAGCTTATACCTCCCCTCCTCCAACAGCGTCTCCAACGCCACCATCACATTCTCGCTCCCATTCAACTTCGGCAAATCTCTTGACCTAAACAAGACCGACTCCACCCCCTCAGGAACCTCAATCTCCTCATCCCCCGTCCACACCTGCGCATACCGCTTCGGCCCATCCGCGCCAAACGCCTCAAAAACATCCCGCTGCGTCGCCCCGGCCCCCACAGCATCAAAAACCGCATCCACCCCCCTCCCGCCCGGGCTCGCCGCCCTAACATCCTCCACCAACGACCCCGACGCCCGATTCACCACCCCCTCCACCCCCAGCGCCCTCAAATGCGCATGATGCCTCGGCGAACTCGTCGCCAGCACCCGAACCCCCGGCCTCGCCAGCCTCAGCACCTGCACCGCCGCCGCGCCCACCCCGGAACTGCCCCCGAGCACCAGCACGCTCGCCACCTCCACCACCCCCTCGGTCGCCCCGCCGCGCAGAAACGGCAGCGCCATCCCCAGCCCCACCCCGACCCCCACCACCGCCGTCAGGTAGCACACGCCCACCCCGGCCGCCTGCTCCCAGCTCCACCCCGCGGGTTTCCGCGCGACGCAAGCTTCGGGCACGACGGCGTACGTCTGCCACGCGGCGCCGCCGTCGCCGGGCGTGAAGAGCGCGAGCACCGCGTCGCCGGGCGCGAAGCGCGTCACGGCGGACCCGACGGCGGTGATGGTGCCGGCGCCGTCAAGGCCTGGGACTAGGGGCCAGGAGGCGGCGCGGGCGCCCGTGTCGAGCATTTTGGCGTCGGCGGGGTTGAGGGCGATGGCGTGGAGGTGGATGGTTACGTCGGTGGGGGAGGGGGGAGCGGGGAAGGGCGCGGTGGTGGTGGTTAGGGGGTGGCCGAGGGAGGGGGCGAGGAGTTTGGTGTTGAGGGGGGATGGGGAGGACATGGTGGGGGATGATGGGGAGGCTGGGAGGAGTTAGGTTGGGAGGGGTGGGGAGGCTGGATGAGGAGATAGGGGGTTAGACGTACGATGTTTGATGAGAGTTGAGGGTGTTGCGGATATGAATAGACTAGGTGACTGATGCGTCCTTGAAAAGCGTCGAGAGAAGAGAACAAGGTTTGGCGTCTTGAGTAATGGTCTAGCTTCATACATCCCCCAGCGAAACGTTCTCAATCATTGCGTATACTTCAAAACGTGGATGCTTATGACGGAACTAGTAGCTCGGAGATAGAAATCAGAACGGACTTACGGTAATCACATCTTCTACACGCGCTTCGACGTTTGCAGAAGTGAGAGCGAAGTATACGTACCTGCGTAATATACCACTGGACTTCAAACCCAAGATGCGACCTACACGATGACTTGAAGTGTAGGTCACTGAGCGGATACCCGTGAAAGAAGCCGAACGACGTCAACATCACGTGCCCCACACTCCCATCAGCCAATCAAAGCACGTTCACCGCAGTCTCCCAGAACACCCCTTCCCATACACCCCATATCCGCATACCGAACTAGCCATGCCATGAGCCGGATGAACAGCACGAATGTCCTTATCACCCCGCCCAACCCCCCCGACGCCCCAAAAAACCCACAAAGCGGCCCTCAAATGGCCAACACACCTCCCGGAGTTATCTCCACCATCCCCCCCCACCTCAACTGCGCGCGTCGCAGAGCGCGGTTCGCAAGACACGCCCACATTACTTAAAAACCTAGCGTGCCCCTCCATTCTCTCTGGAGAACACTTCACACATTTGATCTAGATGTTTGAATTGAAAGAATGCCGCTTCATTAACAATATCTCATCACCCAGCTATGCGATCAACCTATTTACAATGCATTTCCAAATAAAAATAGCGAGTGGAAAATGGCCCGGGGGGGGAGGGTATCAAGCCGTCTCGCCGTTAGACTTCTGCAACTCGCTCGCTTTCCCGTCCATCCATCTATCCATCCCTTTCCAAAGTCCTGCTCTCTCTCATTACAACTCAGTCCCTCAATCTTTCATTAACAACACGCTTCGTTGACATCACGTCCAGCCATCACTCCCATTTTTCTTATCAAAAGAATATCACGTTCCTTCCACTACTAGTACATCACTAGTAGTGCCCTCTCGTTGCAATTCTTAACACATCTCTACTCCTTTCCCCCATGAAACCCCTCCCAAACCCACGCCACCGCATCCCCTCTGCGCACCTCAGGTTTATGAATCCGCACACACCACAAGAACCAATCCTCGACCGGCCTCAAATTCAGCAGCATCCGATTCCCCGTCCACGCAAGCCCACACACACACGCGCCCGCCACAGCATCGAGGATGAAATGGTTGGCCGTCGCAATAATAGCAATGAGGATAGTCAGCGGATACGCGATCCCAATCGCCAGACACATCAGCCGCCTGCGGCTGAAAAGCCGCAGCCGGAACGTAGACCGGCTCCCGATGCGGTACGACAGCGTGCGACAGCGGCGGTGGTGCGGCGCGAGCGGGATGGTGGCGATGGTGAGGCCGATGAGGAGCGAGTAGCCGAAGTGCAGCGACGGCATGGCGGCGTACTGGTTGCAGAACTTGTTTTGCGTCCACACGGAGCTCTCGCCCTCGGCGCCGTGCACCGTGTCGACGAAGCCGAAGCTGCGGGCTTCGTCGCCGATTTCGCCGGGGACGTTGGGGTCGGAGAGGAGGCGCGGCGGCATGCAGGGCCAGGCGGTGAAGACGATGAAGGCGATCAGGTTGCAGACGGCCATGGTGCGGCGGCGAGCTTCGTAGAGAGCCGGGCTGGCGGTGGATACATCGTCTGGGACGGGTTTGGTGGCAGGAGTTGGCAGGGTGAGGGTTGGGCGGGAGGTGTAGTGGAAGAGCCAGACGAGGAAGAGGATGGTGCCTGGGATGTGGATGAAGGAGTAGATGCGGTTGATCCAGTGCATGAGCAGAGGGTGTGCGAGGAACCAGTGCTGGATGGGGAGCTCTTGGAAGAGGCCGAGGCGTTGTTCGATGTGGATTAGTTGTAGAGCATGCTTCCGCGCGACTGCGACGGTGCCTTCGACGAGAGTCAACGCTGTGAGGGCGCGGCCGATTTGGTAGACCTGGTCTCGTTAGTAAGGATGATCAAAAAGGCTGATGGATGAACAGGAAGGGTAAATTGTGGGGTGTGGCGCAGACACGGGAAGTGGAGCATACCCAGTAGATCAAGGCCCAGTACCACGCCTCCACCAAGAACGGGAACTTCTGCAACAGCCGGCTCAGAAACTTCCCCTTGAACCTTCGCGTATTCGGCGAAGTCACCTCCGCTCGGATTCCCAGCAGCGATATCTCTCGTCGCCGCCAAAACGAGTCCTGTGGCGCAAGCAGCGACGGCGAAGCGGGTCGGTCGGAGCTCCCCAGAAGCGAGTCTGTCAGTTGCGGACTGCTGGATCCAGACTCAATGCTATCAGGCGACGAATCCCAGCGCGACCGCGGGCTTTGGGATCGAGAGTTCCGCGCGAACATGTTGTAGTTCTTGTTGCGATTGATCCACGTGCCACCGAAGAGCAGCGTCACCACGACGAGCGGCTCTGCTATTGCGCCGATTCCCATGATGGCGGATTTGCTATCTGTGGCGAGGACGTGGGGAAGACGAGGAAGAGTTCGAGAGGGCTGCAATTACGCAGAGGGGGCTGTTGATTATATTCTCAGGTGGTAGCAGGATGCACGCTCTGGACCTCCGGCGAGTGGCACGAGCAAGGATTAAGAAGCCCGGGATCAAGATATGCGGATAGCACTGAAGCGGGATGCCGATCTCTGTCGAGACTACAGCGAGGTATGTATGCACAGGAGGAGGAGCGGACACAGAGTTAGGAGAGCAGGAGAGAGGAAGCAGAGGCTAAGGAAGGAGAGCTGCAATGAGAAGTGAGAAGCGACAATAGGAAGCCAGCGGAAGGTCGGCGGCGGAGATTAGAGACATAGGGCTGGCTGTCGACTTGGCATCCAACTCGTGGCTGCCGGCGCCGCTGCTGGAGGCCTCCGAGGCCCCTGCCCGGCCGTTGGTGAGCTCTGCTGGCGCTGCCACGGTACCTGGGAATACGCCGATGCGTCATCATCCATCGAGTGTGCGCCGTGAGCGCGACTCTTGACGGCTGCCTATCGTGAGACGAAGCGGCAGCCCTCGCAGCTGTCCCTACTGTCTGCCACATGCTGCAGCTGCCTGGCCGTCGTCCACGGCGCCTACTGCTGGTGCGGATGAGGCCTGACGGGCATCATCGGCCGGGTTGGAGGATGATGAAGAGCTGCTCGGAGGCCGTGGTTGGAGGGCACGCGAGCATCCCTGCTCCGACAGGACGCAAGTAGCTTAGCGGCCGCTGCTGCCGGACGCGTGCGCCACAAAGCGCGCCAGGCCTAGTGTTTGTCAATCGGAGGCGCCATCTCGGGCGAATCAGCGCGGCCGTCGAGCTCGGCCATATCGGCCAGCGACGCATCCGTTTTCCGAATGTGATGCTGTCTCGTGACTTTTGCGTGCATGAGTGCATAAAGCGGCCAATCGAGGCTTGATGCAGCCTGAGAGCAGACGACCTCTTTCCCAGGCTGTTGATGGGCATTCAAAGAAGCCCGATAAGCTTTTGACCGCCTTCAAGCCACCATTCCGCTGTGGCGTCCGAGGATAAAGCCGAGGGATCGCTGCGCATCACTCATGCATCATCTGTCTTCTTACAAAGCCTATGCGTGCTGAAGTAGCTCCTCCAGATAGCGTTAAAGAGCCCGCTGATGAGCCCACGATGAGCTGCCATCGTGTTGATGGGGATGGCCGGATATGAGCTCGGGGTGAGGTTGCGCTCTCGTGATACGTAGCCCATGTCAGAAAGTAGACCCTTTTCCAACGTTTTCGATTTCTCCCCTCTTTAGCTCGCCGTTTCCATCTACTGTGTACAATTCGTCGTCATAGGGCTGCGTACACCTATCTGCCCCTATTTAAGGTGTGCTAGCGAGTTTATTAGTTGCTCAAATTGGCCGATTAACGTTACTTTCTCGTTCGGATTTCCGAAAACGCATCCAGGCACTTCAGACAGTGGCAGGAAGTTATATACAGCTCGGGGCCGCATTACCCGTGGCTTTCGCGTAGTGCAAGTTTCTCGTTTCTCGAAATTTGCCCCACTTCCACCTAACTAGTTAGGTGGCCGCCATCTCAGTGCACCGGCCACCTCAACGAATCATGATAATATACATTCACTATTCTACAGCCCTCCTAGGCCCAATCCCGTGCGCCTTGTTGTATTCACGTACAGCCTTCCGAGCGGCTACATCCTTAGCCAATTGCTGCCTCTTAATCTTATTAGATGCCCTCTTTTCTAGCCTCTCCAGCTTGTCACGAGCATCACGTAGCTTAGTCAATTCACTATTCTTCACTGCCTCCCTTCCTTCTTGGGCATACAACACCCCCCCCGTCTGAAGTGACATCCGAGAGTCCTTTTTATTGTCTTCTCTCTTCCTAGCAGCAGCTGTTTGGCGCTCCAAATCACGATATGCGGCGTTGCTAGCATGTGCAATTGCCATAGATCCGCGCATGTACTTGTAGTAGTATATCTTATGCATCTTATTATTAGATTTGTTTGCCAGACAGTTGGCCATCTTAGCAAGCATCCTAGCATTGCTTGGTGTCAAAATAGGCGGCGTTGTAGGCACTTCTGATGCTGTAGTGCAGGTGCAGGTGTTGCCGGTCGGTCAGGTAAAGGAAGCCGTATTTGTAAGATAACAATCTCTAGATTAAATAGAATAAGGTCTAATTTCCTCTATACGCTTATAATTATACTATGCTTAAATATTATTATTCTAAAGCAGTGAATTACTTATAGAAACTCCATCTTATTAAAATTTATGCACCCGTTTCTATACACTTAAGCCACTTCCTTACTATACTAATGCTTATATAGTTGAAACACTACAATATTAAGCGGCTGGTAGATGTATATTATATAAGGAATTATAGCAAAAAGAATAATATAATACTTATTGCAGTACTTAATAAATTGCCTTATAAAATGGCTTATATAGCTATCCAATATTAAGAGCCGATTTTTGCTAAGCTAACGCTTCCTGGAAAATAATTTAAAGTGCTTTGCCTACTAGAGAAGCAGTTTATTATTAATATATACAGTGTCGCTCACGCCTACTAAGTAGTTGCCTGGTAGTTCCTCTATAGTATTGGTAAGCCATTGCTTTTAGATGGTTTTGCCTGCCAAAAGGATAAGCGGCGGCAGCACCTCTCTATCGCCAGAGATACATTTACTAACTGTGGCTGATTTGCGGTTGGTATCCTTTGCAGCGGTGATTTAAATGCTCTTGGACGTTGTAATAACCTTTTCCTTCTTACCTATACCTAGGCGCACGCCTGTCTTATTATAGTTGTACTGGTTTCTTAGTTATATGCTATACAGGCCCACAGTATTATTATAGTCCTTATACCAACGCAATAGTACTTTTAGGTCCTCCGCTGCCTGCCTTTTAAGGTTCTTAGGATTCTTAGTGCACAGGTTGAATTCCGGGTGCTGCAGGAGGAAGCGGCGTGTCCAATGCTTGCCGCAGAGGGGTATGGCGGCCGGCCAAAATTAAATTGCACTCCTACTCCAATTCTAATATAGTAGCACGCGTTCCTAATTAATCACGTTGTTTTAGCCAGATCAGAAGGCCCTCTTCCTTATAAGGATACAGCAATAGGTTGTGTGGAATGCGTTCATTCCGTGGTGGAAGGCCTCGGGCACGATTTGTGACGCGTGA